TGCACATTACTATCCATCCTTCCTCCCCACCCATGCCTTTCCCTGCTACCCTGCATGCCCCCCCTTGCTCCCTGACCCCCTGTCCCCCCTGACAGGTGGCGTTCGCGGGCGGGCAGAACTACGTGCAGTTCTTCTACGCCTTTGCCTTCTGCGCCACCTCCGCCACCATCTTCGCCGGGGCTGTGGCCGAGCGCACACACCTCGCAGCCTACCTGCTCTTCAAGTGAGCGCCCTCTCATCTTCAACTCAACGCCCTCAGCTCTTTAAGTACGTTCTCTCTGCTCTTCAAATGCTCTCGCTCACACGTCCCCTATACACCATTCACCTCTCAACAACACATCATGTGCTCACACTTCCCTGTCACCCTGCCACTCTGCCGCCCACTGCCCTCGCCTATGTCATCCACACCCCCTACCCCCCTCCTCCCTGCTCCCCTGCGACTGCCCCAGTTTCGTGCTGGCGGCGCTGATCTACCCGGTGATAGCGCACGTGCTGTGGAGCAGCAACGGGCTGCTGTCGCCGGCGCGCGGGGCGGTGATCCTCAACACCAACGGCGTGCTGGACAACGCCGGATCCATGGTGGTGCACGTCACGGGGGGCGTCACCTCGCTGGTGGGCGCGTGGATGGTGGGGCCGCGCATCGGCCGCTTTGACATCGACGGCAAGGTTGTGCCGTTCAAGGGCCACTCCATGGTGCGATCATGATGCCATTCAACGCCACAGGAGAAGAGCACCCTATGACCATGCAGAACCCCACGTTAACACATGCTCATGCCATGCTGCGACGTGTTCATTCATTCCCGCCCTCTTCTTCCCATGTCACGTCCTCACCCAAGCCCGTCCCCCCTGCAGGTGTTTGTGGCGGCGGGCACCATCATCCTGTGGACGGGCTTCTACGGCTTCAACGGCTGCAGCGTGGACTACCTGGGGGAGGACCCGCTGGACTGGAGCGCCGAGGTGGCGCGCGTGTGTGTCAACACCACCATCTGCGCCGCTGCTGCCGGGGTCACCGTGTGGACGCTCACGTACCGGCGCCGAGAGCCCGTGCCCGAGGACACGTTCAACGGGGTCATCGGGGGCCTCGTGGCTGCCTGCGCCACCAGCTCCCTCGTTGAGCCCTGGGCCGCCTGCGTCATCGGTGTGCCTCTCACTTCCTGCTCTCTTTGCCTCTCTGCATCTTCCATCTCCGCTGCAGTTGATTCAGGTCTCGCTCCTGCCACATGGCCCCCCTCCTCTGCCACCCTCGTCCCTTCATTCTCGTCTCGCCATTACTCTGCCTGTGCATGTGAGCAGGCATGGGAGCGGGGGCACTGTACCTGCTGGGCACGTGGGTCATGCTGCGATGCCAACTTGATGACCCCGTGCAGGTATGACCCCTGCAGGTATGACCCCGTGCAGGTATGACCCCGTGCAGGTATGACCCCTGCAGGTATGACCCCGTGCAGGTATGACCCCTGCAGGTATGACCCGTGCAGGTGTGACCCGTGCAGGTATGACCCGTGCAGGTGTGACCCGTGCAGGTGTGACCCGTGCAGAACTCTAATCAGCTGTGCACATATCTGCATAACTCCACCCACCTATGCTCGCTTCTGTCACTGTCATTCCCACCGCCTCTCACCCTCACCCCCCCCAGCTCCCCACCCACCCACCCCAACCCCTTCTGTGCGTCCTCAGGCGACGCCGGTGCATCTGGTGTGCGGGTCGTGGGGCGGGGTGGCGGTGGGGTTCTTTGCGAGTCCGGCCAACATCAGCCGCACCTACAACATCGCCCAGCCCCTCTCCTGTGGCGTCTTCTACGGCTGCTCCGCCTGGCAGCTCCTCGTGCAGGTGCCATGTGCCCTGTGTCTACCAGTGCACGTGTGTCTACCAGTGCACCTGTGTCTACCAGTGCACGTGTGTCTACCAGTGCACGTGTGTCTACCAGTGCACGTGTGTCTACCAGTGCACGTGTGTCTACCAGTGCATGTGCGCCCATTCTTCTGTGCACTCTGGCGCCTGCCAGCCACTAGCGTGCTCTCCCTGCGTCGTAGTTTACCTTCATCTCACCCCCCCTCCCTTCCCCCTCACCTTGCTTGCTTTCTCTCTCTCTCTCACCCCCCGGGGTCCCATGGCACGGCAGATCCTGGGGCTGCTGATAGTGTACGCGTGGGTGGGCGCCACGGCGCTCTTCCTCTTCTACGGGCTGCACTTCTTTGATGTGCTGCGCGTCAAGCGCCACCAGGAGGAGGTGAGCCCAGGGCGCGTCAAAAAGAGGGGCATGCCACCAGGTGTGGCCAGGGCGTGACGCAAGGCAGGGGGGCAGCAGGGGGTGATGGGGTTGAGTGAGAGTCATGGGAAGGCAAGGTGTGGGAGGTCGAGAGCAGGGAAGCTACTTACACGTATGCTTTTTCTCTGTTGATTATTGCATTACCACCACACATGCTTCTCGCCCCCCCTCATTTTCCCGCTCTCTCCCCCTGCACCCCTCGTGCCACCCTCATCCCCCCCCATGGCAGGTGGGGTTGGACGTGGTGTTCCACGGGGGGGACGAGGCCGACGATGTGGAGGGCGACCAGCACGGCCACGCACGCCGCTTTGCCTCCCGGCGCTGGCAGCAGCTCGGCCTCTCCACCCTCTCCGCCGTGCCGCGCGGCTTCTTCAGCCCCTCGCGCTGGCTACGCGCCTCCATGCGCCTCTGCTCGCGCGACGGCCGCAGCTCGGCGGACGGGGAGGGCATGAGTGTGCGCAAGCGGCGGGACGTGTGGCACCGGGCGCTGGACAGCACGGGGCTGGGGCAGCTGTCGCTGGCCATGTACGAGGCCAACTACGTCATGGAGGACGCCGTTGAGGTGGAGGCGGGGTCGGGCGGCGTGTACATCGGCGTGCATGATGGCCATGGCGGCAGTGAGACCGCTGAGTTCCTGCGCCACACACTCTACAACAACCTCAAGAGTGCGTTCGCTGCCCCGCCTGACCGCCATGCTCTCTCTACTGCTCCACTAGTTCCGGCCCATCTGCTGCTTGCATTCCCTCCACTCACTCTTCCACTCCTCTCTCGGCCCCCCGATTCCCCCCACCAGAGGAGTTCCTACGCGGGGGAGGAGCGGTGTCGGTGGAGGCGCTGCGGCGGGGGTTTGCGGAGACAGAGAGGCAGTTCACGGCTCGTGTGAGGGACAGCTTCCTGGACTCGCCGCACCTCGCCACCGTGGGGGCGTGCTCCGCCGTCGCCATCGTCACTCGCAGCGCCCTCTGGGTCGCCAATGTGGGCGACTGCCGGGCTGTGCTGGGGCAGGTGAGACTGCCTTGCTGTGCTGGGGAATAAGTGGGTTACCTGGACCTTTTCACCCTTCACTCACCCATCCCTTTCTCCCACCCCATTACCACCTGCTCCCCTGCCCGTCCAGGTGCGGCACACGGGGGACGGGCTGGAGTGTCGAGCGCTGCAGATGTCGGAGGACCACAACCTGAGCTTCCAGGCCATCCGCGACCGGTACCGCGAGGAGCACGCCGACATGCCCGACGCCGTCACGGAGAAGCGCGGGCGCTACCGCGTCAAGGGCAAGATCACCGTCACGCGCGCCTTCGGGGACCTCTACCTCAAGTCGCACGACTTCAACCGCGAGCCGCTCTTCTCGCGCTTCCGCGTCGCCGAGCCCTTCAACCCGCCGCTGCTCTCCACGGACCCGCACGTGGCGGTGCGCCTGCTGGCGCCACACGATGCGTTTGTGGTGGTGGCATCGGACGGGCTGTTTGAGCTGCTGAGCAACCAGGAGGTGGTGGACATGGTGGCTGTCTCCCCGCGCAAAGACATCGCCCGCCAGCTCATCCGTGCTGCCCTGCGGCGCGCGGCGGAGCGCACAGAGGTGCCGTACGGCGAGCTGCTGCGCATGGCATCGGGGCAGCGGCGGTCGTACCATGATGACATCACCGTGGTTGTCTTCTTCTTCGACCATGATGCCATCCGCAAGGAGGCTGCCCGCAACCAGCCACAATGGACCAAGGTCAGCCGCCCATTCCCTCCCCGCTCTCCCCATGAACTCATTCCCTCTTCCACCTCGCCCCCTCTCTGCCGCTGCATCTCATCCCACTTTGAGCATTCCCTTCCGCCCCTCTGCCCTCCTCCGCCCCTCCCCTCCGCCCCTCTGCCTGTGCATGGGAGCAGGACGTGTCACTGAAGGGCGGGGTGAGTGTGGACGCAGCGGGGGCGGTGGTGAGCGACTTCAACGTGGTGAGCAGCGTGCACGGTGGCACCGCTGCACGCTCCCTGTTGGCGCGCTCCATCGGCTCCACCAACAACCTCGCTGCCGCCTCCACTCTCAGTGCCTCGCTCATAGAGGACTCGGTGCTGGAGATTGAGTAGAGCACGGCACACAAGAATATGCAAACATATATCATTTGTATTTATTAATTATTATTATGGTATTCTCCTCTGATGGACATCATACGGTATGTATGCAGCAGTTTAGCCTTGCTTGCTGGCTTCCTTGGTGCCATAGCCAAGCCACCATCCACCCGAGCAGCTACGGTAAGCACGTTGGTGGGAGTGCAGAGCAGGCCAACGCACTGCCCCAACGGGGGCTTGTTCGTCAATTGCTCCCAGAGTGTGTTGCTTTAGGCTTGACCTTTCTTGTGTCCAACTGTACGGTACTGTGGGCACAAGATGCTGCCTGCCTGTCCATGAGTCCAACAGTGAATAAGCACATGGTTATGTTGTGTTTCCAAAATTGTGCCACTCAATGGGAGCAATTCAAAAGAGATCCATCATTGTTTGTTGCATGCAAAGCAAACCATGTACCGTAAAATAAGTACATCAACTGGAAGCAGGTATTTACGGTATACATAAGAATTGCTTGGGTTAGTATGGTATTCTGACGATAGCTTTGAGAGACGGGAATCACGGGGCCATGGCCTAAAGGCAAGCCAAATGGCATTATTGGGACAAGCATAATCAAGACCATATGTTGACGTGTGCTGCCATGTGCTGCCATGTGCATTCATGAACGCACGCCCCATGCAGGGCATCACAGGGGGGCGGTGGGCGGCTGCCAGGGCAGCAGCTCGCTGCGAGGGGCCCACATGGCCACGTCTCCATCGGCGTCGTCGTCGTCGCCCCTCAGAATGTTGACCACGCCACGGCACCCGCTGCTGCCACAGTTGCACGCCAGCTGCTCGTCCTGCGAGTCAAACCTGAGAGGGAGGAGAGTGGATGGATCACGGTTGGGAGGCATGGGGGCGTGGCTCAGGAGGCATGGTGGCATGGTTGACGGGGCATGGTTGAAGGGTGAGAGGGCAGTAGATGGATCAACAAGGCGATTGAGAATGGGCATGCGGCAAGTGGGGGCGAGGGGGGGGGTGGGGAGGGGGAGGGGAGGGCTCAGGGCCGTGCCTGTAGTCGTAGGTGAGCTCCTCGCCAGCCATGATGTCCCGCCGGGCGAAGATGACAATGCGCTCCTCCGCACTCGCCTGCACCACCCGCGAGTAGCAGTTGGGCTGCATGGGGCGCAGGGAAGGAGAGGGGGGGGATGGAATGGCAGGATACTTGAGACGGGAATGAGGGGTGTTGTGCGGGACACATGCAGGCATGGGCAGCTGGGAAGCCGGTCCGTTTTCAAGTGAGCGACATGGATGACAGGAGAGAAACAAGGCGAGAGAGGGGCTGCAGCACAGCCAGCACACGGCATGCAGAAAAGAGCAGAGAGCATGGATGGAGTGGCACTAACGTTGCAGGAGTGGTTGATGAGGTGTGCTATGGTGCCCGCCTTGGTGGCGTCCACCACTCGGTTGCTGTCGATCCGAAACATGTACGTGCCCGCTCCCTGTGCCACACCCAACAGCCGTTCGCCATGCATGCACCGCACACATATGTGCCACACATGCATCACACACAGCGTGTGAAAGCAATGCACCATGCATCATGCATCAAACACCACGCCCATACATCCATCAGTCAGAGAAACGATGAGTAGCGGAGAGATGGAGAAATGACCCAATGCGAGGGGAAAAGAGTGAGCACGGAAGTGAAATGGTGCAGTTACGGGGTACAGCAGTGCAGGCAGCAGCATGCGTACCACGAGTGAGTCATAGCAGCGCCTCTCCCTCAAGTCTGCCACCACTGGCCGCACCACCTCGCCCCCGTACTCTATGATCTGATGGGACAGCACAGCATGGGTAGACAGCATGAGATACGGAGACAGGTTTTGAGATACGGAGACATGCTTTGAGATACGGAGACATGCTTTGAGATACGGAGACATGCGTTGAGATACGGAGACATGCGTTGAGATACGGAGACATGCTTTGAGATACGGAGACATGCTTTGAGATACGGAGACATGCTTTGAGATACGGAGACAGGTTTTGTCAAAGACGAGAAAGAAGGAAGACATTCAGGTGAACACGAGTGGAGCAGGGCAAGGCAGGAAGTGATATCACATGCTGAAATTCATGGAGCATGCAACACATGCCATGAGACGCGAGATTTTCCCAGAGACGAGCAATTGCACGTGCAGGGTGGTGGTGGCAGTGGGCACTCACCATGTCCCCGGCCCGATGAGGCGTCTTGGCAAACACACCCCACCCATGGATGGCTGACTTGCCTGCACGCCCACATGCACACACAAGGGAAGAACCGCATGGGACCAAAGAAAACACAATGAAGGAAGAGCGTGTGCTGGCACGACCGGCACACACATGCACCAAATCACCAGCACGGCACGGCACGGCACGGCACGGCATCCCCATCCCTACCATCATCACTGCCCGCCCACCCACTACCTGCCCGCGCACACATGCACCAAATTACCATCCCTGCCCCCAACACACCGAAGGCGAGGCGCTGCTGCTGGGTGGACTTCATGCGGCGGAAGCGGTCCGACATCGACCGCACCTCGCCCTCCCCACTGCCCGCCTGCCCCTCCTGCCCCTCTGCGCCACCCACCAGCCCCGAGTGCAGCAACCGCCGCAGCCTGCTCACATGCACGCCCCCCCCCGGCCCCACGTCCCTCACACCCTCCGCGTCACGGCACACCTCGTGCTGCCCTGCCCTGCCGCGCCCCTCCCCCACTGTGCCCACATGCCCGTCCTTGGAGCCGAGCTCCTGGGCGGGGTGGGAGGCGGCGTGCTGCATGTGTGCTCGAACCGCCTCCACCACGGAGGGGCCGTGCACGCGGCGCTGCTCCTGGCGGCGGCCGCAGATGGCGAAGGGCACATTCTCCAGAAACGACCGCTTCGCCAGGAACGCCGCCACCGCATCCGGCTCCCTGCGCCCCCTCCGTATGCGCGCGTCAAAGGGCTCTGAGGGATGGTGGTGGGTGAGGAGGAGGGGCAAGAGAGAGGGAGAGGTGATGCCAATTGAAGGGGCGGGGGGTGGGGGGTAGGGAGGAGGGGGAGAGAGCGGACGCATATACAGGTGCAAAGGGGAAAATGGCGAAAACAAGTTGTGGTCTTTGCAATCTATCTCACCTGTTCGAGCGCACAGCACTCTCTCTCCGCCCGCCCGGCCACCGAGTGGCACATCCCGCCGGCTGCTGTCCATCTCACACCCGCCCTCGCTGCTACCCCCTCCTGTTCCACTGCTCTCACTCCACCCACTCTCGCTGCCACTCCCACTGCCACCTTCATTCTCCCCTCCTTTCCCCTCTCTCCCCGCCCTTGCACCACCACTGCTCCCATTTTCCCTCTCACCCTCTCTACCCCCACCTCCTCTATCACCCTTGCTCCCTCCCATCCCCTCTTTCCCCTCAGCCTGCCCACTGCCCAGAGCAGCAGGGGCGTCGGAGGGGGAGGGGAGGGGCGAGGGAGAGGGGTGGCATAGAAGCTGTGCCATGGGGAGCACTTTGGGGGGCGGGTCGGAGGGAGCGGGGGAGGCAGCAGCAGCACCAGATGTGGCTGGGTCAGACGCGGGGAAGGGCGGGCGAGGGGGAGCAGCAGCGGCGGTGGGTTCGGGGGAGGGGGAGGGCGCGGAGGGGTGGGGGGGGAGGGAGGGCGTGGTGTGGAGGGCTTTGGCGCGCGCGCGGTGGCGCGGGCAGAAGCAGATCATGGCCACGGACCCCACCACCGTGCCGTGCAGCCGGCTGCGCTCCATGCTCTCCTCACTCATGTCCAACGTCTGCCCACAGGCGGGGCGGACGGGGGAGAGGAGGAAGGGGACGGGTGAGTTGCTGTCCATGCTGGCCTCGCTCTCTCATGTGCATCGTGTACGAGGGGTTAGGAGAGAGGAATTCATGGGTTGCTGGATGAATGATGTGTTAGGGATGCTCTCACCAGCATGGGGTAGCCCTTGAGTCGTGCTCTCACCAGCATGGGGTAGCCCTTGAGTCGTGCTCTCACCAGCATGGGGTAGCCCTTGAGTCGTGCTCTCACCAGCATGGGGTAGCCCTTGAGTCGTGCTCTCACCAGCATGGGGTAGCCCTTGAGTCGTGCTCTCACCAGCATGGGGTAGCCCTTGAGTCGTGCTCTCACCAGCATGGGGTAGCCCTTGAGTCGTGCTCTCACCAGCATGGGGTAGCCCTTGAGTCGTGCTCTCACCAGCATGGGGTAGCCCTTGAGTCGTGCTCTCACCAGCATGGGGTAGCCCTTGAGTCGTGCTCTCACCAGCATGGGGTAGCCCTTGAGTCGTGCTCTCACCAGCATGGGGTAGCCCTTGAGTCGTGCTCTCACCAGCATGGGGTAGCCCTTGAGTCGTGCTCTCACCAGCATGGGGTAGCCCTTGAGTCGTGCTCTCACCAGCATGGGGTAGCCCTTGAGTCGTGCTCTCACCAGCATGGGGTAGCCCTTGAGTCGTGCTCTCACCAGCATGGGGTAGCCCTTGAGTCGTGCTCTCACCAGCATGGGGTAGCCCTTGAGTCGTGCTCTCACCAGCATGGGGTAGCCCTTGAGTCGTGCTCTCACCAGCATGGGGTAGCCCTTGAGTCGTGCTCTCACCAGCATGGGGTAGCCCTTGAGTCGTGCTCTCACCAGCATGGGGTAGCCCTTGAGTCGTGCTCTCACCAGCATGGGGTAGCCCTTGAGTTTGGCGCAGAGCGGGTGGAAGGCGGTGTAGCACTGCCCCGCCGCGCACTGTATGCACGCCCCGTGGGGGATGCGGCACACACAACACCGCAGCTGCCACCGCGCCTGCAGGGAGAGGAAGGGCGAAGAGGGGGAGGGGAGGCGGCGTGGCGGGGAGAACGATGTTGGTAATAAGCATGGAAAACGTTGGGATGACTTGAGAGCGAGCGTGATTAATATCAATATGGAGACGTGCATTGATAGGGGCAGTGGTTTGAATGGTGAAAGGTGAGTCGTGCGTGGTGAGTGGTGAGTGGTGAGTGGTGAGTGGTGCATGGCGAGCGCACCTTGGGGATGTCATCAAAGCCAGTGACGGGCTCCATGCGCTTGATGTTCACAAACGACGTCTCTGTGTGCCGCCACGGGTGGGGGAGGGGTCAGGGTGGATGGACGAGGGTGAGGGTGGGCGGACAGCAGGGCAAGGGAGGGGGGACAGCAGCGATTACATGAAGTGGGCATGAGGGGCGAAGCAACAAACGTGCCTACTCCACTGGTTCTTCTGACACAATCTCCTAATGCTGCATTCCACTCGCTTCCAGAACCCGTTTGACTAACCCACCTGGGATCCAGAGAGAGCATGCCAGGTGCGCCCACAGCCCATGCACCGTCCGCTTCATGGCTCCCCCTGGTCAAGTGCACGGGGATGGGGGTGGGCATGAGGATGGGCATGAGGACGGGAATGTGGATGGGCATGGGCATGGAGATGGGCATGAGGATGGGCATGGGGATGGGCATGGCCATGGGGATGGGCATGGGGATGGGCATGGGGATGGGGATGGGGATTGGCATGGGCATGGGCATGGGCATGGACATGGGGATGGGCGTGGAGATGGGGATGGGCATGGAGATGGGGATGGGCATGGAGATGGGGATGGGCATGGAGACGGGGATGGGCATGGAGATGGGGATGGGCATGGAGATGGGGATGGGCATGGGGATGGGGATGGGCATGGGAATGGGGATGGGCATGGGGATGGGGATGGGCATGGGCATGGGGATGGGCATGGGGATGGGGATGGGCATGGGGATGGGCATGGGGATGGGCATGGGGATGGGGACGGGCATGGGGATGGGGATGGGCATGGAGACAAAGGTCACGGACAGGACGGGATAATCTGGTGGACAGCGAACACGCGAGGGTGGAGACCTTGCACGGGGCACTGACCTTGCACGGGGCACTGACCTTGCACGGGGCACTGACCTTGCACGGGGCACTGACCTTGCACGGGCACTGACCTTGCACGGGGCACTGACCTTGCACGGGGCACTGACCTTGCACGGGGCACTGACCTTGCACGGGGCACTGACCTTGCACGGGGCACTGACCTTGCACGGGGCACTGACCTTGCACGGGCACTGACCTTGCACGGGCACTGACCTTGCACGGGCACTGACCTTGCACGGGCACTGACCTTGCACGGGGCACTGACCTTGCACGGGGCACTGACCTTGCACGGGGCACTGACCTTGCACGGGGCACTGACCTTGCACGGGGCACTGACCTTGCACGGGGCACTGACCTTGCACGGGGCACTGACCTTGCACGGGGCAGAGGCAGCAGAGGGGCTTGGCATCGCGCTTGCCCTGCCGCTCGTACTTGCTGCACACGTCGCACAGCCACAACCCGCCATCTGGCGGCTCTCTGACGCCGTAGCACGCCATGTGGACCATGATGCGACAGCTGTCGCACTGCAGCAGCTGGTCGTCCTCGTACTCCTGCACTCATGCACAGGGGGTGGTATGAGCATGAGCATGGGCATGAGCATGAGCATGGGCATGAGCATGGGCATGAGCATGGGCATGGGCATGTGCATGAGCATGGGCATGTGCATGAGCATGGGCATGGGCATGAGCATGAGCATGTGCATGTGCATGAGCATGGGCATGTGCATGAGCATGGGCATGGGCATGAGCATGAGCATGTGCATGTGCATGAGCATGGCATGTGCATGAGCATGGGCATGGGCATGAGCATGAGCATGTGCATGCGCATGAGCATGAGCACGCAGACGTGCATGTGAATAAGCCCACACGCATGCACAAGGGAGTGATGCCCTCTCCCATCCTCCCACCACGGAGAAGCAACCCCCCCCGTGCACCCACTGACCTCGGAGAGGCAGCACACGTCGCAGCGGTCGAGAGACGCCTGCCGGTACTCCACCGCTTTGAACCCCGCCGGCAGCCGCGACTCCTTCACCACCACGGCCCCCGCCCGCGCCCCCTGCGCTGCCTCCCCCTGCTGCTTTGCCGGCGCACTGGCCTGTCGCGCCCTCTCGCCCCTGCTGGCGTCCGCAGTGTTGGAAGCAGGCGCAGGGCGAGGGGCGTTGACCCACGCGGTGAACTGGTGGCAGCGGGTGGCGTTGGGCAGACCCTGAATGAGGTGCGCCACTCGTGGGTGGGTGAGGCCGAACATCTGAGCCCCCGACCGCACGTGGTGCGACGGCAGCCATGCCCCACACCGCCCGCTGCCCCTGCTGCCCCCGCTGCCACAGCTGCCACCGCTGCCGCCCCACCCCCCACTCACCCCACCACACTCACCCCCACACCGCGGGCTGCCACTGCCATGCGCTGCCCCGCCCCCTGTGCCCTGTGCTGGCAGCGCCTGCCACGGCGGCCGCAGGGGGGAGGGGGTGAGCGGGGGCGCGGATGAGGGGGACGCGGCGAGGGGGCGCGCTGCAGAGGCGGGGGGGAAGGCCCACCTGAGAGGGTCCCCTGCAGGCAGCCCCCCCTGGGACGAAGCCCCTTGGACGCCTGCTGCTGTGTCCCCCCTCTCGTCCCCTCCGCCCCCATCCACCTCCATTGCTTCCGCCTCTGCCCCTCCCTGCCCCACAGCGCCCTCTCTGCCCCCGCCCCCACCATCCCTCTCTGTCCGCTGTGTGCCTTCAATCTGTGCCTGGCCATCCTCCGCCCCACGGCCACCGCTCGTTACCGCTGCTATTCTCTCTTGCTCCTCCGCCCTTGCACCTGCTTTGCCCCCATCACCCCCCCCTGCCTCTGCCGCCCCTGCCCGGCTACCATCACCCGCCTCTGCCTCCGCGCCTGTCCTGCCACCACCGGTCCCCTCTGCATCTGCTCCAGCACGCAGCACCGCACCACCGCTGCCCTCGCCTCGCTGCAGCAGCACCGCCAGCGGCACCATCATCGGCCCCCCGCCCCTCTGCGCCCTCCCTTCCCCTCCCCCCGTGCCTCCACCCCCTGTCCCTGCCCCCGTAACTGCCCCTGCCCCTCCGCCTGCCCCTCCCCCTGCGCCAGTGCTGGGCGGGTGCAGGTGCTGCAGCAGCAGGCGCTTGGCCTCCGCCACGCGCCTCTGGATGATGCGCCAGCACTCGCCCGGTGATGGGCCCTCCACCTGCCCGAGGGGGGGAGACGGGTGGGGAAGGGAGGGGAGGGCGCAGGCACACCAGCCAGCGGCTTAAGGGGGCAGGATGGAGGGCTTGAGGGGAGGGGCGGGGGAGGCAAGGTAGACAAGACAAAGAGAGGGAGGTGAATGCAGAGGCGCATACCGGATCAGAGCCTTCTGGAGTGACTCGAAAGATTGGACCACCAGGCACTGGGGTGTTTCCAGCAGTCCCGGAGGCGCCAGGCGGCTGCTTCTTCTGCTGTGGCTTCTTGCCCCCCTTGGGCTGCTGCTGCTGCATGCGCTGTGGTGTCTGGCGGAGCTGGGGGCGCCGCCATGCCCCTTCCCCCGAGGGCACAAATGGCGCTGCTGCTGGCGCTGGTGCAGCAGCAGTGGGGGGCGGAGGAGGAGGGGGCGGAGGAGGAGGGGGGCGGAGGAGGAGGGGGCGCCTGCTGAAGGATCTCCATCACGTGATTCACCACCACACGCGGGTCTGAGGGGAATTCAGGGTGTTAGAGGGGAAGAGAGGGGGAAGGGGAAGGGCAAGAGAGGAGGTTTGACAGTGTGGAAGACAGAGGAAGGGGAAGAGGAGCGGAAGAATGGCATGATGCAGACAAAAGTGTGGGCGGAGGGGAAGGGGCGGAACACACCTTGGGCAGAGGGGAAGGGGCGGAACACACCTTGGGCAGAGGGGAAGGGGCGGAACACACCTTGGGCAGAGGGGAAGGGGCGGAACACACCTTGGGCAGAGGGGAAGGGGCGGAACACACCTTGGGCAGAGGGGAAGGGGCGGAACACACCTTGGGCAGAGGGGAAGGGGCGGAACACACCTTGGGCGGAGGGGAAGGGGCGGAACACACCTTGGGCGGAGGGGAAGGGGCGGAACACACCTTGGGCGGAGGGGAAGGGGCGGACAGCCTTGTAGCCGACAGGGTAGATGTGCTGCGCCGTGTGGAAGCCAGGCTCGCCCGGCAGCACTCGCCCTGTGGGCACGGGGGGAAGGGGGAGGTGTGGGAGGCTTGGCGGTTGGGGGACAGGGCAGCATGAGGGCCAAGGGGACTGTGGATGGACAAGGGTATGGGTGGCTGGGTGCATGGCACGCGGGATGCGGGCAGCAATGGCAGGCACTAACTGCAAAGGTGGCTTCGCAAGGGTTGGGTTGGGGCACATGCATGGGAGGAGTGGGGTGAAGGTGCTCGGAGGAAGCGAATGAGAAAAAGGGGCGAGGAGGGGGGCGCACCAAGGGAGAGCAGGGTGAGGGAGGAGGGGGGCGCACCAAGGGAGAGCAGGGTGAGGGAGCCGATGTGCAGGGGCAGGGACGGCGGGGACGTGGCCGTGGTGGCGGAGTCACCCCCCATCACCGCATCCGACCCCACTGCCTGCCCCCCGCTCCTCCTCGCCTCCCCTACCTTCCCGTCCCCCTGCCCATCTGCCTCTCCACACCCCCCTGAACTTGCTCCTGCCTGCCCCACGCCACGCCCATCCACCACCTTGCCTCCCACCACTGCTGCCCGTCCCCCCACCTCCGCCCCACTCTTGCCCGCGCTGCCTGCCGCCCTCGACCCCTTGCGCCCATGCCCCTCCCCCTCATCCGCCTCTGCTGCCCCTTTCCCCTCCTCGCCACTGCTCTGGCTACCCTCCCCGCTGCCACTCTGCCGCTCACTGCCCTCCTCGCTCGCCCCCTCGCTGCCCTCCCCACTGCTCCCATCACTGCCCGACTCCTCCTCACTGCCCTCGTCGCTGCCCTCCTCCGACCCTGATCCGTGCAGGAACGCCATTTTCGCCGGCAGCTCCTCCACCAGTAGGAACCTGCCGGGGAAGGGGGATCGGACGGGAGCGAGGTGCAAAAAAAGTCGCTGGTATGAGAGTGGGCTCGCCTGCACAACAGCAAGGTGCAGCAAGCTGTTGCGGAAAGTTCAGGTTAATTGACCGTGCAGGGAGGAGGGCGAGGAACAAGGAGTGGTAAGCGGAGGGCCAGGGGGCGGGAGGAAAGAGGCGAGAGGCGAGAGGCCAGGGGTGGGACTCGGACCTTTCGACTTCATGAAGTGCGGTTTTGAAGCAGGCGGCCTTGCTCTTGTTGTGCAGCCCCTTGGCGAGGCCGAGCAGGAAGGGGCAGGCGGCAGAGGCGGCAACGATGCTGCACTCGTAGGAGCCGAAGAAGTGCACCAGCACCTCCCCCGCCCCGCCCTCCCTCACCGCCCGCAGCCCCACTCGCTCCGCCACTGCCGGATCCAACACCATGGCCGGCCATGCTGGGTGCCCTGCATGTGTGGGGGCAGCAGAAGCAGCAGCAGAACAGCACGAATTATGGGTTTACACTTGGCACCAATTAAGCCCCCCTCTTTTCCTTCCCTCAGATCTTCTCCTTTCCATCCCTTTCTACCCGCTACAGTGACATCCAACCATTAAAGTCGCATTCTAGCCCTCCTATCCGTTACTCACACACTAATCCACCTACCCGCAACAGTCACAATCTATCTTCCCTATCTCTACAGTCACACACTACCCCTCATACGAGTTCACGCCCCAGCCCTGCTCACCCTTGACGCGCGCCCACACCAGCTCCTTGGCGCCAAACCGCCCCAGCTTCAGCTCCTCCAGCGGCCCCCCCGTCCCCCCTGCTATGCCCGCCCCTGTGCCCTCCCACCGAACAGCCCCCCCTCCCGCCCCCGCCCCCGCCCCTGGCCCCTCCGCCTTGGCCTTGGGCGCAGACCCCTGGTCCGCGGCCCTGTGGTCTCTGGGCGCAGTGCGGGTGGAGGCGGAGAGCATGGCAGCGGCGGCCAGCACAGCAGCGCGAGCAGGGTCCATGTCCCGCGCCATGCTCGCTGCCAGCTCCGCCAGCTCGCGCCCTCCCTGCCCCCGCCCCTGCCACCCCCGCCTGCCCCGCCACCCCCTCCCCTTGCCACCCTTTCCCGCCTTCCCTCCCTCCCCGACCAACTCCACTCCCCCCTCCTCGTCCTCATCCTCCTCCCCCTCGTCCCCGCTTCGTTCGTCCTCCCCTTCCTCCTCCCTCCCCTGCTCCTCCTCTCTCTCACACCCTGGCTCGCCGCCATCCCTGCTGCACTCCTCCTTCCCACAATCCTCCACCGGGGGGCCAGTGGCACACGTAGCAGCCGCAGCAGCAGCAGGGGGCGGAGCAGAAGCAGCAGCAGGGGGAGGGGGAGGGGGGGTGGGGCAGAGAGCGAGGAGGGGGTCGTGGCGGGGGAGGTGCAGCTTGATGCGCTCAGCTGCCATGCGCAGCCACTCGCTCTCCGTCTCGTCGTACCGCACCTGGTGCTTGCCCGTGCGCGCGTCATATGCATACACCAGCCCCGCGTACCACCGCTCGTCCAGCGGCCAGTACACCTGTTGTACACACACACACACATGCAGGGGCGACACCGGGCAGGGCAGCATGGTGTCGCGATACACAGGTGGCTGCTGGCAGGAGTGCAGGGCCGGGGGAGACGAGGCAACAGGCAGGAAGGCTGGCATCCAACGGTCATACCTTGCACAGTCGGCCGATGAGAGCCCTTGGATCCACTCCAGCCAATGGCAGCCTGCAGCACGGGTCAGAGAGAGCAGAAGCAGGCAGACGGGAGTCATTCAAGTCAAGTCAAGTCGGGTGAAGCCAAGTCAGGTCAGCAAGCTCTTAGCTGAAAAGAAAGAGCTTGAAACACCGGAGGACAAGGAGGTGCAGAGTGGTGAGAGGCGGTGGGCATTACTCCATCCACTGAGGGCGCTGCAGGTCGGCCATCAGCCGGTCCACATAGCTCTCTATCAGCCGCCGCCGCTTTGGCGTCAGCCGGCTCTTGTCACTCTGCCCTGCTGCTGCTGCTGCACCTCCTTCCGCCTCCTCCCGCACCTGCTGCCCCCCCTTCTTGTCCAGCCGTGCATGGGCAGCAGCCTTGGCAGCAGCAGGAGCAGCGGCATGAGTCACAGTCACGCGTTTCACAGGCACACCCTCGCTCTCACCCGCCTCGCACTTCACCTGCACCCGCGCTGCTGCCACTGCAGGCCCGGTGGGAGCAGGCGGAGGAGGAAGAGGAGGGCGGGGGGCAGCAGCAGGCGGAGCAGGCAGAGGGGGGCCATCGGGGAAGAGGCGGCGCTTGCTGCAGGCGAGGTCGTCCTCGTCGGGATAATCCACCAGCATGGCCGCCTCCCCTCCTCCCTCACTCCCACCCCCTCCCACTGCTCTGCCCTCCCCCTCTGCTAAACCACCACCCTCGTTCCCTGATCGCTCTGCCTTCACTGTCACCTCATCTTCCCGCTTCACACCACCGCTGCTGCCAACCTTCTTCTCGCTGCTGCCAACCTTCTTCTCTCTGCTGCCAACCTTCTTCTCTCTGCTGCCAGCACTCGCCTTGCCTGTATCTCCCTCAGCATCACCGCTTCCTTCTTCCTTCACCACCGCAGCACCCTCGATCTCTACAGGCACTTTCATTTCAACCTCGTCCATACCCAAGTCTTTCAGACCGCTTTCCCTCACTACAACCTTCTCGTCCGCTGTGAAGTCTCCTCCTCGGGCCCCACCGTCTCCTTTCTCCCCACCCATCTGCTCGCACGCATCCATCACCTCCCCACAAGCGTCCTCAGCCTTCTCAGCCACCATCCTGTGACTCGCCTGCACCCCTCCCACGCCGCGCTCCAACCCGCCCTTCTCGCCCCCTTCCGCCTTGCCCTCGCTTCTCTGCTGCCCGCCCGCCCCCGGTATTTCCCAAGGGCTGCCCGCTTCGCACGGGCTGCCCGCCTCGCCCGCGGGTTTGGGTGCGCCTGAACCGGTATGGGCAAGGGAAGGGGAGTCGGACATGGGAGCAAGGGGGGACAAGGCGGGCAGGGCAGTGGAGGCTTGCCCACAGGAGCCTGGCCCCCGGGGAATGACCCCATTCGGTCCTGGCATGGTAGCCGCGACCTTCGCACCCCCCTCCTTTGCGCTGCCGTCCGTGCCATGGCTCTCCTTGTCCCCACCATCGGCGTCCCTCCCCTTGTCCCCACTCTCCTTGTCTCCACCCACTTTCCCCCCAGCGCGTGTGCCAGCAGCGTCCCCCTCACAGCTCTGCACCACCGCCGCTGCATCCCCTTCCCCTGACGCGCGGAAGCAGATGGCGCAGTCAGAACCGCACCCCAGCGAGTCCCCGTCCGCGTGCTCGTGGCTCGAGTCGTGCGGGCTGCCTGCCTGCCCCGCCACAGGGCTCGCCGCAAGCACCGCCACGGCCGCTACCTCCGCACCCCCTCCCGCTTCCACCACGCACACAGCAGGGCGAAGGGTCGCTGGCTCAACAGAGCTCTCAAAAGCCACCGGCGGGTGCAGCAGCCGCGCGGGTGGCGGCGCGCGCGGGGGCACGCGGTGCAGCGCCACCGCCACTTCGCCCGCCACCTCCACCTCCAGTACCGCGGGACCAGCGGGATCAACGGCCCCCATCCACTCCCCATTTGCCTGCCTCCCATCGCTCGCCTCTGCGCATGCTTGTGGTCCCGCCTGTTCCTGCGCCTGCGCCTGAGATCCTTGCGCGCACAAGGCAGCAGCAGAAGGCGCATCTCTACTGCCGGCTTCCCTGTCTCCGCTACTCCACTCCGCCTTTGCTTCCGCACCAGCCGTGCTCACCGTGCTTCCCGCGCTCTGCTCTCCCCCGGTCGGAGCAGCGGAGCTAACCCTAACGGCATTGGTGGGCAGGGTAGCGAGCGGGTGTGTGGCGGGCGGCAAGGAGCTCATGCGCCGCCGCTTGTACACGCTCAGCCCCTCCTCCGCGGACTGCCGCCGCTTGTCGCACGGCGAGGCGCCATGCGGCTGCTCGACGTCCGAGGCGGCGCTCTGAGTGACAGCTGTCACGGGGAACATCGCGGATACGGGCGGCTCGTTGCCAGCTAAGAGTCGTCCGCCCAAAAGACCACTGCTTTCGCTACTTCCAGATGTGCGCACGCGCCGACTGCGCAGCGTGATGTGGTTCTTGTCGCTCGACGACGCCTTGCGACTGTCGCCCGAAATCCCGTCCTCCATGTTGTCCCGGCCTGTCCGTCCCGCCGTCTGCTTCGCCTTTGTCGGCGCTGCCGAACCGTTGGCCCGCTGTTCTTCCCGTTTCGCCAGCATCCCCTTGATGTTGCACTGCACGTACCGCCATTTCGGCGCCGCGACAACTGTACAGTCAGTATCTGCCGCCCTCTGCGGGTCCGCCTTCTTCCGCATCCTCGCGAATAGGATCACGCACCACTGTACGACAGAGTTCAAATATTGATGAAAGATAAGGACTTAGCCTGGAAAGTTGCGCAGGCTGGTGAAATGAGTCCAGAGAGCCATGGAGCCCAGTGGTGAGTAAAGTCGAGAATGAGGGTTGGGTGGCGAAAGAGAAGAGGATGTTCGAGAGAGGGGTGGGTGAATTGATGAGGGGGCTCTGGCGAGATGGAAGAACGAGGTGTGGGGAGTTCCGTGGCCGAACCCGTTTGAATTTTGATTCAAGGGTTCAAATTGGCAGAATTCGGTAAGAGCAGACGGAGAGCAAGGGCCCAACATTGAACATGTCACGTATGAGCCATTTGTACCATGAGCTTAAATCAAGCATCTGCAATCGCATATCTCGTATTTTCTTGTACGGTTGCATTCACTTCTAGCGTTTACATTATTTTACTGCTATTTTCTCTAACAATGCTGAATCTTCCATGCAAAATCTGATACGTATACATCATCGAAAAGCTCTCAAATTTATTAACCGCGCATATTTTGATATATATTAATTGTTTTTCATGCTCTTTTTTTGGCAAATGCCGTATGACCATGGGGATTTTCTTTTATGTTATCAAGGTTGCCTATTTATATAATGCTGATAAGGAAGCAGCTCGTAAACGATGGCTCCGATGTTGTCATTTTCACGCACCAGATCTCAACCGCTCTGCAGCCCCTATCGAACCGCTAGTTTCAATGTCTGCGTACCTGTCAGCTGACGTAGGACCGTCACATGCGCACCTCAAATTCTCCGCGTCACGCGAGCCAGCGCTCCCTCGATGACCTCCCCGTTCGTCTGTCTTGACGCCCCGCGCGAGCGGCTGAAGCGAGTCAAATGGTGGACTCAGCAGGAAGGCAGGGTGGCCCGCCCCACTGGAGCCACCCAACAGTTCCGCGAAGGGACGCGCTGGAAAGGAGCGTGTTTCCGATCCGCGCGTTGCGTGTCGGCGTGGACTTAAGAAGGCATGAGCCAGACTCTACCTCTTCATACTTACTCATCGTATCTGTCCCCCTCGAGTAGTCTAAAGCTTCATCGCCTACTACGTTCCTCACGTCCGAGGAAGGCTACTCGTTGGCCACGCTTTTCGCCAGGGACGCTGATTTGAAACGCTTATTATTCCGTTCCGTTTTCAGTTCCAGCGATGGGCCGCTCCAAGTCGTTAGCGATGCTGACGGTGCTGCTGGCGCTCGTCGCCCTCTCAATAGCGCCCGTTCGCGCTCAGCCGCGCGCCCCCCCTGCGCCAACCCCAGCGGGCCCGTCGCCCGCACCGGCGTCCAGCCCTTCCCCCGCGCCAGCATCCGCGCCCACGCCAGCGTCCGCACCCACACCGGCATCAGCGCCGTCCCCGGCCCCCGTGCCCGCCCCCGGCCCCGCTCCCACTCCGGCCCCTGTCCCCGCGCCTGCGCCTGCACCCGTCCCCGCATCACCACCGCCTCCCGTCGTTCCCCCGCCGCCCCCTAAGGCCGCGTCCACAGGTATTTGAGCAGAGCAGTCCGGGAGGGTCCACGTATTCTGTAGCAAAGCCTGACGTGAAATCGTTTGTCGCTGCTGACGTGACGAGTTACCATGTTTCTGATCCCCATGTTTGCCGCGATGCCTGTGGCGTGTGTTGCAGGTGCCACGGTGCTGACATCGCTGCTGCTCGTCGCGCCTCTGGTTGCGCTCGTCGTGTAAACTGAACGGAGGTCGGCTGTGTGGTCGGTTGGAAGGGCCGTGGGGTTACTCCCGTCTTTAAAATCGTGATTAGGAGTGTGTGTAGCTGTAGCTGTGATGAGCATGCATGTAGTGGTCCACTGGAACAGCTTAGGAACCCATACTAGTTAACCCATTGGATACGTAGTGGTCCTACTTAGGAAGCTTATGAAAAGCCTTGTTGGACACAATGAACAAATGGAATACCTAAAATACGACTCACTCTGCTACTTACCCAACTTTTATTTCCTAGTCTACTTCCTAGCTTACCATACACTACATACACACCCATAGAGTGCAGTCCAGCTCACACTAAGCACACTTTGAACACACACCACGCAAGCACACACAATGACTCGCACAAGACGACACAACACAACACAGCACCTGCAACACATCATCAAGCCATTCGCCTGACACCAGTTCCGCAAGAGGGGACAGGTGGGTGCGTGAGCTTAGCTCTTGAGGGAGGCGACGTAGTTGTGGAAGTTGGAGGACTGCTGCTTGGCGCTATCGAGCGATCGGAAGCGCATGAGCCCCGTGCTGCGCCGCCTGCTGCTGCCGCGCGTGCTGCTGCCCTCCTCCCCAAACTTGCGGAACAGAACCTGCCCCTCCGCCCACTGCCCCGCCAACTCCTGCTGCTGCGGATGCTGCTGATGATGATGATGCTGCTGCTGAGGATGATTATTGTTATACTGCTGGTGCGGCTGGTACTGCTGGTACGGCTGCTGCTGACCACGAAAGCCTTCCAAGGGACTGCTACCCAGCTCAGCCTCTCCCCGCTGCCGTCTGTTCTCCCACACCTCTGCCACTTCACCAATCCCACCTCCCAGCCTGCCTGCTCCGCCTCCATCCCTGTTGAGACCCTGAGATGCACTGCTGATCGAGGGCCTGAACTGTGGGGGCGTTCCTATGGGTGATAAGAACCCAGAGGTTGGCGGTGATTTAGGCACTGATGATCGTGCCATCGGAACTGATGCTGTTGCCGCTGCTGATGCTGCTGCTGGTGCTGCTGCTGATACTGCTGCTGCTGTTGCTGGCGGTGGTGGTGGGGTTGGTGGTGCTGCTGCTCGTGCTGCTGATGCTGATGATGGCGCTAACGATCGCCCAAACGCTGGTGCGACGAGTGGAGCGGATGATGGCGATAGTGGTGGAGGAAACGTCAGCCCTGATGACGCTGCTGCTGCTGACGATGCTACCGATGGTGCTGCTAGTGCTTTGGGCGAGAGCAGCGGCGGGGTGGCAGAGGAGGAGTGCAGGGGGGGCAGGGACTGGAACATGGACCCGGACGGCAGTGACGACTGGCTTCTCAGTGACCCTCGGCTGGGCGGAGGCAGGTCCCACGACGGTGCAGTGCGGGACTCGGCCTGCTCCCGAACCACAATCACAAACTCCTGTTGCTGCTGCTGCTGCTGATCCGACTGGCCTGCGTGTGCTAGTGGCTCCTGTTGCTGGTGCTGCTGCTGCTGCTGCTGGTGAGACTGCACGGAGACAGAGAGCCGGAGCTTGACTCGGGACCCGTCGGACCTGATGCCCGTGGCGCGGCGCATGTGGCCCACAAACGACTCCAGCCCTGCCCCCGCCACACCACCGTGCATCAGCCCAGTAAGAGACTTGAGACAGCGGACATGCCCAGATGACAGCGGACATGCCCAGATGACAGCACACCGACACGACAGTGCATGGCCAGCAGCGACAGTGCATGGCAAGCAGCGACAGTGCATGGCCAGCAGCGACAGTGCATGGCAAGCAGCGACAGTGCATGGCAAGCAGCGACAGTGCATGGCAAGCAGCGACAGTGCATGGCAAGCAGCGACAGTGCATGGCAAGCAGCGACAGTGCATGGCAAGCAGCGACAGTGCATGGCAAGCAGCGACAGTGCATGGCAAGCAGCGACAGTGCATGGCAAGCAGCGACAGTGCATGGCAAGCAGCGACAGTGCATGGCAAGCAGCGACAGTGCATGGCAAGCAGAATGGGAGAAGTGGGAAGGAGGGAGAGGGAGCGCACCGAGGGAGAGGTAGTGGGGCGAGCCTTCAATGGAGTGGATGAAGGCCTTCACGTGCAGTGCGCCCATGGCGTCCGCGTGGCCGTGGTGCTCCTCCATGCCAAACAGCCCACACACCGCCCCGTTCATCCACGTCACCCGCCCGTCCCCCCCCACCGTCATCAGCCCGTCCCGCGCCACCTGGCACATGCGGTGGGAAGGGAAAAGGCAGGGATCGGGAAGAATAGGGGTTAAGGGGGAAGCGGATGGGGGTTTTGAGCAGGTGGAAGGTAATGGAGGCGGAGGGAAGAGGAAGGGGTGTGGCATGGAGAGGAGCGAGCCGAGCGAGAGGACAACGCATGGGAGGAAGTGGCACGGCACGTGCCCCCAGTGCAGGGATGGAGAGAACGCCACGAGCACCGGGGGAAGGGAAGATGAAAGCGAGCGGGGAAGAGGGGGGGGGGATGGGGGGGGAGAGAGTGACCTGGAGGACGGAGAGCAGGCGCAGCTCAGCGTCACGCTTGCGCTTCCTCTCGTGCACCGCTTGCAGCATCACGGCCGCACTGGCGGTGAGCGGCTCCAGCTCCTGCAGCATGGCCGTGCTGTACCCACCCGCCCTGTTCGCCAGCGCGTACATGCCTATCATCTCCGACCCTGCAGGGCGTGGTGTGTGCAGGGGATTGGGGCAAAATTCAGTCATTGACCTGCACACAGGGATTCCTACTCGTGGTACTCGGCACATTGTGTCAATTCTTCAAAGCGTGCGGGGGAGGGAGGGGCACTGACCAACAATGAGCGGCACGCCCATGAACGCGGAGAGCGGAGGGTGGCCCGGGGGCACGCCGCCGGAGCGGGGGTCGAGGGCGGGGCGGTTGGAGATGACGGGCGCGGAGGAGAGCAGCACGGCGCCCAGCAGGTTGGACGTGTTGGTGAACACCAGGCCCCTGTGCGAGTTGTCCCGGTACCACACCTGCAGCTCCTCCGTCCATGCTATGTTGGACGCCGCGTGCGACTGCCATGTCATGCCATGTCATGCCATGCCACCAACAGACACGTGGGTCCACGCAAGCGGTGAGCAGGCCAACGAATGGCATAGCATATGATGATGGGTCAGCGAGATGTCACAACAAGCAATACACACCACACACCACATGCCGCGAGGAAACAGGAGACGGATATGTTGTGCTTGAAGGGGAGGCTGTTACCATGAGGGGACAGGTGTTACCTTGACAGGTGTTACCTTGACAAAGGGATTTCATCACATTAAGAAGATGATTGTACATTGTCACATTAGAGTGGTGGTGCGAGGATAGTTTAGCGTGGCAGGGAAGGGAGGGGAATGGGTGGGTGGGAAGGGGCGAGCGTGGGCGGGGCTACCTTGAGGTAGGGCGAGCCGTTGGCCTGGAAGAGCACGGAGCCGATGAGGCCGAACTGCGACCCCGTCATGTCCAGCAGCGCGCCCAGCACATGCTCCATCACCCTCCCCGCCCCCGCCGACTGCACCCCGCGGCACGGGTGGGAGACAAGAGCAGGGGAGAGAATGGAGACGGGGGAGTGGGAGGTGAGAGGGGAGAGAGGGGTGGGGAGAATGGGGGAAGAGGAGGCGGGGAGGGGAAGGCAGCAGGTTGGCATTCAGACAGGACAGGGGGTGGTTGACACAAGCGGGGCGTACGGCATGGGCACTGCCATGACGAGTGCCATGACGAGTGCCATGACGAGTGGTGCAATGCGGCACCTGGTCGGACTGCAGCAGCATCTGTGCCGTCGTGATGGCGCGCAGCATCTTGCGATCCATTGACACCTCCCCCTTCCCACCCTCCTCCCTCCCCGCCTCGCCCCTCTCCGCTTCCCCCCTGCCCGCCTCCCCGCCCGCACTCCCTCCACTGCTCCTCCCCGGACTCCCCTTATTTCCTTCCCCCCGCTCGCCCCCCTGGCCCGCCCAAGCGCCTCCGCCCGCCCGCGCGCCGTCGCTCTCCACGTGCGCCACCGTCTCGTAGCTGCGCGACCGCGGCATGGGGCGCCGCCCGCTGCCGCCCTCCCGCGCTGCTGCTGCAGCGGCTGCTGCGGCTGCCGACGCTGCTGCCGCGCCCAGCCCCATCGGGCAGCCTGAAAGTCCTGTCCCTCCACTCACCCCCCCAAGCGCCTGGCTCTGCTGGCTGCTGCCGCTGCTGTGCGCACTGCGCCCCCCCTCGGCCCCGTACTCGCCGTTCCCCGCCCCGAACGGGCTCTGCTCCCCCGCATGCACACTCACGCTCCGCCCCACCTGCCCCAAGCTCTTCTTCCGCCCTCGCCGTCTCCGCCCGCCCAGCCCACTCCCCCCCTTGTCGCCCTCTGCGCCACCCTTTCCGCCTTCCGCGCCCTCCCCCTCCTCTGCCGTCGCCGCCAACAGCTCAATCTCCCCCAGCCCCCCGACGGCGGCACCGCCATCCGCTCCCCCGTCCCTGTTCCCCCCGACTAGGTCCCCGCTCACTGCCATCATTTCCGCCAGCTGCGCCGCATCCGACCGCGCGCGCCTCAGGCCCCCGAGCCCGCCTAGCGCGCCCTTCAACCTCCCCGACAATCCCCTATGGAGGCTCGTGGCCCCAGTTGCTGACGTGGCTGACAGCGGTGATGACGCGGGTAATGGAGGTGGCGGGGTGGATGACGGAACGCCCGACGCGGGCGCGCGGGAAGCGGAGTGGGTGCGCGGGATGGAAAAGCCCAGCGCGAACCGCTGTGCGCCTAAGGGCGGGCGCACATCCCCCGCGTCGCCTGCGGAACTGGACATCGACGCCTTGAGCGGCCCCGAGGCGGGCTTGTCCGCGGAGAGAACGGGCGAGCGGGAAGGCGGGACAGCTCCTGCGCTCTCTGCTGACGTGGCAGCAGAGTCGTTACTGGCTGCACGCGTGCGCACGATGGGGTTGAGCGGAATGGATCCCGACGAGGACTGCGCGGGGCGGAGGTCGTGCGCGGGGGACGCGAAGGCAGCGGCGGCGGCGGAGAGCAAGGAGGAGGTCATGGCGGCGGTGGCGGTGACAGTGCGCCGCAACGGCGGCGGGCGCATGCCGCCCCCGCCCGTCCCACCCAACCCGCCACCAGCAGCAGAAGCGCCGCCACCACTCCCCACACTGGCGGCTGCAGCGGCGGAGAGTGACGCGAGCGCGAGCGCGTCTGTGTTGCGGCTGCTGCCGCCCTTGCGCCCCCACAGCTTGTATCCCGTCCGCGCCTCCGCTGCCTCCCCCGCTGCCATTCCCGTTCCCCCGTCCGCCTCCTTCTCTGTACATTCCGCCAGCCCGCTACCAGCTCCCCCCTGCTCTGTAGCGCCTTGCGCGTCCTCGTCGCGCGCGCGCGAGAGTGCGGCCGCGGAGTGCGGGGAGAAGTGCGCCTTTCCGTGGGCCTCCGCGCTGCCGAACGAGCGCGGATGAGCTTCTAAGCTCGACCCGAACGTGGGGGACAGGGGCGGGAGGGCCGATGGATTGGCGGGAGATAGACGGTTACTGCCCATTGGCGGACGCCGGGGGGGAACTGGCGGCGTCGCGGAGGGAGTGGGGGAAAGCAGAGGGCTGCGCGGAGCAGGCGGAGCGGGGAAAGTCAAGGAGGAGGCAGGCTGTTCTGTCGCGAGAGGCGCAGAGGACGGTTGGTGCATGCCCACGGCGTCGAAGATGGCTCTCAGGCGATGCCGCCTCGTCCAGTCCTCCCGCTCGTTGCCGCACTTGGCGCATCTGCAGTCCGACACGACGGAGAGCCAAGAGGAAGATTCATTTGCCAAGCATTATGGAACTGCGATTTCCGAGACATAAGGAGGCCGTGAGGTGGGAGACTGACACGGAATAGCGCGTCAAGGCCGCACCTTGTCATTTCCTGGCTCATGGCTGACAAAGTCGAGGCTTTTAACAGGACCAGCGCGAATTTCTGGTAAAATTACCGCCAAGCGGTGGTCATCCAGTCGCTTACCGCCACGCGGAGGTCATCCAGTCGCGGAACTCGATCAACTCCGCCTCCGACAGCCCCTCCACCGCCTCCAGCACCGACATTCCGCACACCTCCGACATTCCACGCGCGCTGTCATCCCCCGCCGACCTCTCTCCTCCGATCAACCCGCCGCTTGCGGAAAAAGGATCATCCGCTGCAACAGCTGCGGCCGACCTCGGGCTTTCATTCAACGGGTCTGGCTGGTTGCCGGCAATCGCTGCGCCCTGCAGCACGTGCTGCCGCACCGCCTTGGACACATTGTTTCCTGATTCCGCCAACTGGCGCGATGTCAGTGGATGACGGCGGGATGCAGATTGCTGCTGACCCATGGCTACTATTAGGGCTAACAAAGTTGCCTACAATACAAACTCGGACGTACTAAAAGGATCAAAATGAATGCTTAATTCACATGGCTTTTTCCCTTTACACCGAGTTCTGAAACAAGGTGGAAGAGTTAAAACCTAACACCTCCTTGGGATGTCAGATACTGTCGAGATGCGCGCCCTATTTGACGCATGTTGAGGATCAACGCAACCTGAGCAAGAGGACGAAGATGACGAGGTACTGTACCATACAAGGCTCTGGTTATCCATTACGGCAAACCACATCTCATATATCCATAGACGGCTCACCTCCGTACGGAAGAGCAAGCCAGGTGGGTCTGGATGAAACGCACGGCATGGGTGGGATTCGGCAGTGGGGAAGTGCAGGAGAGGGGAAGGAGGAGGGGGAGAAGAATGGGAAGAAGTGGAGCTGGGATGTGGGGACGGGGAGGTGTTTGATGCCGCCTGGCCCGCCAAAGGGGGTGTTCGTCTTTCCCATCAGTGGTGGGTTCGCCCGCTGAATTTTGGTCTAGAAACCGCAGCTCACAACCTTTTTGAATCGCAACGCACCTTTTAAAAACGTGCATTGATTTGCAAATGACTGTTCTGTACAAATTCGTGAATACAGTACAGTAGCAAGGCATGCAGACTAGTGTGAGATTTTCTACATTTAGGGCTTACACGAAATAGCCGTGTTTTGGAACGCGAACGTGTGCCTGTAACGCAGCTTCCACATTGGAGAAGGTGTTTGGCTGCCACAAAAATTATTCCCGTAATTCCGCCCACAAATCTTAGCCTTCCGCACCACGCTTGCGAGCCCACTTTTCCGCCACCGCGGCAAAAGGTGAGTGGCGCTGGTGGAAGTTGTGGCTGTCGCAGTGTCGGAATGGATTCACCCTGGCCGTTGGATCATGCCAGGCATTTCCAGGAGAAATCGCTGAAGAGGCACCCAGGAGGATTTTCCGTTGGCTGTGTGTTTGGGTCAGCTTGAACCGAATCGAGGCCGAACCAATCACCTGCCCCTTCTCGGATTATGGGATGGGGGCGAAGAGAAGGGAGGAAATGGTGATGAGCGTGGGTTTGGGATGGACCATCCCTCCTGGGCTGGGGTTTCGCAGCATGTGCTGATCACCACCACATGCTGGAGATACAGGAGTCCCCTTCCTGCCTTAAGGCCACCCCCATGCCTAATCCCAAGCTTCGGCAAACCTAGAAATCTTGTAGTTAGTTACTAGTCTTACTCGTACCCTCGTTAGTCCAACACATAAATTTGTGTAAGATTAGGTCATGGTTGGAGCAGTTATAGGGGTTACAAGTCATCAGAGAGAGGCTATGGCGTGGAAGAGCAGGGAGGCAGATTTCCATCAAAAGGCATATCATGGAAAGACGCAGAAGCTTGCAGGTGGACCTAGATACCAGAAGAGGCACGACTCTGAGCGAGTACCTGCAGCTCATAGCTCACACGATTTTGAGGCAGCCGTGACGTCGAATAGCATAGAACCCGCAAGAGTAGCAAGTCGAAATTTGGGAAGTTTCATTTCTAACGTGACTCCGCGAGTAAAGCTTCAGTATATTAACAAGGTATGTTCACGACAGTATGTTGATATCCCTTTGTCACTCGTTTACATCCACATTTTTTCCTGACAATAGTGTCGTTTTGTAGGAATCGGAACGTTTTGCACACCCGGGGAGGCACGAATCTTCAACTTGTTGCGCGTTTTATACGTTGGGAGATCTGTGGGACTCTTTGGAGGAGTGGAGCGCGTTTGGGGCTGGAGTTCCTATTTCACTCGCTAATGGCACGCATGTAACTCAATATTACGTGCCCTCCATTTCCGGTTTGCAACTATATGCGCGAAGCAGCTCCTGGCAGTTACCTGAGTCAAGGTATGTATAACGAGTTCAATGGAAAGCCATATGATTTTTTCGGTTTCAATATTTGTGTGGCACCTCATGCCGTTCTCAATATTTGTTCCACAGGAACAGTGGCCCCGACAGTGACTGCAGTGACGTGAGCTTCCATGATTCCAGTAGTGACAGCAGCGAGAGCAGTGATAGGAACGAGGGTCGAGGAGTTGACGGTGTAGCAAAAGCAGTCGAGGGCTGTGTGATAGATTCATCCGTTGATGGCGCATGGGGTTCCAAGATACACCCGTCACACTTTCATATGATGGAAGAGCTTCTTTCAGGATTGGATGGTCATAACTCTGTCGACGAGTGTGCCGCTGTGTCTTGGGATGCCTGTCGAGACTGTAACGGGGGTCGATTGTTACTGGAGTTTTTCGAAAGAGCACCTCCTCATGTGCGGCTGCCACTCTTCTCAAAGGTAGGGTTTGTTACTTGCATTTCTGGCTTGCGAGGCTATGGTTGGTGTCCCCCATTGTTTAAGCCCTCCGCTGACATTGGTTGCAGGTGGAAGAGTTGGAGAGGGAGTTTCCCTGTCTCAGGCACCTTCGCAGCATTGATTTACACCCACGAAGCTGGATGGCTATTGCATGGTAAGAATGAGTGTTATTCAGGAATCTGTCTTGGCGTTTGTTTGTTGGAAGGCAATGATGTTATTGTTCTGCATTTCACGAGTTCGTTGTTGTGTGTAGGTATCCACTATACAAGATTCCGGCTGGGCCCAGTGTTCGTGATCTTGGGGCATCATTTTTGACATTTCACAGTCTCTCTTCACCAGGCCCATCTTTATCGGGTGAGCCTTGTATTACAATCTTATCAGTCTGTCATGAAGGTGTATCAGCTGCCAGCTGCTAAATTGCCGTCTTCTCTCATGCACTGCAGGTTCTTGCGTTCGCTGTAACGATGAATATTGGATATCCCCCATGAAGCTGCCTCAGTCCTGCATGTTCTCTCCACCACCAAGTTCGCCTGAGGAAGAACATGGGGCCATGCACTGGGGCAGTGATTTGCAGTCAAGGAGTTCCACTACAGCTTTGGCCCCATTTGGTTTCACTGGTTACAAGGCCCATGGAAACTTGTGGTCAGATAGGTGGTGCATACAGGGCCTAGAGGCAGCAGCGGAGCAGTGGCTGAGGCATATCAATGCCAACTTACCAGACCATTCCTTTTTCACCATGCAGCAGTACACAGGGCGCTAAGCTTCTACTGGTTCTTTGGTGTCTGCTCTCTAACATGATAAGGGCTCCAATCAAGGGCTCCAGTCGAGGTGTTGCAGCTTGTTATACATCTGGCTGTCAGGTTAGCTGGTGCCAGATCAATTTTGGTTCAAATGTTAGCAGATAGCCAGATGCGTAGTGCTCTCTGCTTACCTATTTGTATTGGATAGACCATTGACCCATCAACTGATCTTAGTTTTGTCGATTATTGTAGGTGACTAGTGCAGTGTATGACACTAGTGGTATATCCTGGTAGAAGGCCCTTTCGTTACACAACACGAGCTCTAGTCTAGAAATAAGGCCGAGGCAATAATCGCCGCGTACCAAGTGGGTACACGAACATATGCAAATTCCGAAGCAGCTTCTAACAGCTGTGTTTCGAGCAACTTCCCTGCCGAATTCCCGTCGCAGCAGCCCAACCCCCCACATTCACCATCACTCCACTCCGCCAACGAAATCTGCATTTTCATTTTCAATGCTTTCCTAGCGCGAATCACCACCATAACTCTATCCTTTGACTAAAGCTGCCGCAATGTCCTTGCCGTCGCATTTAGCGGCGTCGCTTCGCTGCTTGCACGCCGCTCCTTCCGCTCCCCGCCTCCCTTCCCTCCCCTCTCTCGCTTCCTCCTCATTCCCGCGTCACTCAGTGTTTCCCTTAGTGCATCCCCGCAATGCACGACGAAACCCACGCTTCTCGTCTAGGCGCCAATCCGCGCGGGTCGTGCGCGCGAGGGCGAGCGGGGTGCTTCCAGCCGACGTGGACGCGATCATAGCGAGGGGGCGGGAGGCGGGCGCGTTTGTGGAACACAGCGCGTGCGTGGTGCCCGGCGCGACTGACGGGCCGTTGCGCGGGCTGACGTTCGCCGTCAAGGACATGTACGACGTGCGTGGGGGGGCGAGGGGAAGGAGGGGGGCGGTGGTGAGACAGATCCACGTGCGACGTGCAATGGCCGGCACTGGATGGTGGCGCGTGTCTAGGCATGCAATGCTGCGGCGAAGCGGCTTGAGAGAATGAATCGCCGTGCCTGCCTCCCTCTTCTCACAGTGCTCACCACTCCCCTCTCCCCACTCTCTGCTGGTGTGCGCGCAGGTGGCGGGCGTGCCAACGGGCTTCGGCAACCCCACGTGGCTGGCCACGCATGACGTCCCGCAGGCCACCGCCCCCGTCGTGCAGGTGCACGAGCATGTGCATTTCTATGCCTCATTCCTTCCTTTCCTGCATGCATCCACCCCTCATCTCACTTCCTCTCAAACCCATCCCCTTTCTACCACGCATAAGTCACCATCCAATCCCTTGCACTGCTCTGCACCCCTCACAACCATTCCCCCACCACCCAGGCGCTGCTAGAAGCGGGCGCCAGCGTGGTGGGCAAGGCGGCAATGGACGAGCTGGCATTCTCGCTGGCGGGGGAGAACGCGCACTACGGCACGCCCCTCAACCCAAAAGCCCCTCTCCGCATCCCGGGCGGCTCCTCCTCGGGTTCCGCTGCTGCGGTGGGTGGCTTTGCTTGTCCTCAGTACCTGCCCTCTGCTCCCGTGCCTCTTGTGTTTCCACTGTCTCTGCCGTCCCTCCTTGTTCTGACACACTCTTCACCTTCCTGCACCGCTCCCCACCCATTGGCTGTGTGGAAGGGGCGCACACCCCACCAGCACCACAGTGGACCCGTGGAGGCAACTGGTGGACTTTACATGCCCCACTCCGCCAATCCTCCCCTCGGCAGGTGGCAGCGGGCCTGGTGGACTTCGCCCTGGGCAGCGACACAGCAGGGTCGGTGCGCATACCCGCCAACCACTGCGGCGTGTGGGGCATCCGCACCTCCCATGCCCGCCTGCCGCTCACCGGCGCTCAGCCCCTGCAGCCATCCATGGACACCGGTGAGAGGTGCGGTGGCTTCACGTGCCGTGCTCATGTGTGCCTGTGCGTGACTATGCATGAATGTGCGTGACTATGTGTGCATGTGCGTGAAATCATCACACACTCGCTCTTTCCCATCCTTCCTTCCTCGCCCTCCTCCTCCCAACACTCACCCCCCCCTTTCCCCCCCTTTTTTGTGTCTCCCCACCCCACCACACCGCAGTGGGCTGGTTTGCACGCGATGCCTCTGTCCTTCAACGAGTCGGCTCCACTCTCTTCCACTCCCCCTCCCTTGCCCCCTCCCCCTCCTCCACTTCCTCTTCCCCATCATCCTCCTCCTCCTCCTCCCCCTCCTCCCTCCGCCCCTTCACCGGCTGGCTGGTGGCGGAGGACGCGTTTGAGCTAGCAGACAAAGACGCCGCCCGCGCAATCTACGACAAGATCTCGCCACATATAGACGAGATCGCAGCATTGCTGGGCGGGCGGCCGGAGGAGAAGCGGGTGGCGGGGGAGGAGGGCAGCGAGGTGGGAGGCGTGCACGAGTGGGTGGACGCCATGAGGGTGCTGCAGGTGAGCAGAGGTGCAGCAGCGATGTTTTAGTTGTTCAAATGATACAACTGGTGAATGTGGTGAGGGCGCACAAGTGGCCTTCTCTCTCCCCTTCTCCTCTCCCCTTCTCCTCTCCCCTTCTCCTCTCCCCTCCAGCTGATAGAGGTGTGTCAGTGCCACAGGCAGTGGATCACGTTACACCACCCTGATTTCTACAACAGTCTCAAATATCACATTCCTTCCTTTTCCTCCGCTCCCGTTCTCTCCCGTTCTCCCTCCCCCAATCCCCCAGCTGATGGAGGCGTGGCAGTGCCACGGGCAGTGGATCACAGCGCACAGCCCTCCCTTCTGAGATGTATCACAATTCGTCTCCCTGCTCTTCGTCTCTCTCTGACTTCACCCCCCCCCACCCGCCCCTTCCCAGCTGATGGAGGCGTGGCAGTGCCACGGGCAGTGGATCACAGCGCACCGCCCCGCCTTTGGTCCCGGAGTGGCGCAGCGCTTCCAGGCTGCCAGCGCTGTGGACCCGCAGGGGGAGGCAGTGGCGCACGCACGGGAGAAGAGAGCCGGATTCACATCGCACATGGAGAGCCTCGTTGCGGGCGGCAAACTGCTCATGCTGCCGGCCGCCCCCAGCATAGCGCCTCTGAAGGCCGCCCCGCCTGCTGACGTGGACTCCTTCCGCGTGCGCACCCTGGCCCTCACCGTCATTGGCGGCGCTGCCGGCCTGCCTCAGGTGAAAACAACAGAGGGGCTCAGGTGGGAAAAGCAGAGAAGGAGAAGACGCATGCAGGTGAAGGAGAGGCTATCAGGATTCAGCCTATCAGACTGATGGCCCCATGTGTCCTGAATCCTGATACCCTCTCCTTCAGCCTATCAGACTGATGGCCCCTCTTCTCTTTCTCTCTTCTCACACCCATGTGTATTCCCTGTCCCCTTTTCTCCTCACCCCACATCTCCCTCTCTCTCGTCCTCCCCCCTGTCCCCTGCCTCTCCCCTCCTCTGCGCTACCCTCTGCTTCCCCAGGTGACGGTGCCGCTGACAAGGCTGCAGGGGAGCCCCCTGGGGCTGGGGCTAGTGGCGGCCAGGGGGTGGGACGAGGAGCTGCTCGCCCTCGCCGTGCGCCTGCAGGCAATCCTGGACCTTTCAGTGTGACTCGCCCGCCAGGCCAGTGTGGCCTCTCACGTCTTGGATCATCATTGAATCCGCTCAAAAGCCTTCACTACGGCCTATCATCTTCTGATGCGCCTCAACCACTCTCAGATGCGGGCTGTAAGATGCTGTATGCTGCTGTTGTCATTGCCTGCCCGGGCATGCTGCTGGGATGCGGTTGTGCGGGTGGCAGTTGTGCCGGGTGCTGCAGTCAAGAAGGGCAAGTTTTGGGACATCTCAAGATGCGCGCGTTACATATTGGAGAATCACTTCGACACAAAGCATTCCCCTGTAGTATACTCTAGTACCGGTACAATCCTTTTCCCTGTACGAAATCTCTAGCTGGCAGGCTGTGAGGCTAGGATCCAAGTACTACCTAGCTCAATAGTCATCATCAACTTGACAAGCCACGCTCCTCCTCAAGTTCACACCACCTGCACGGCCTCAGGCCGCCACTCCCCATTCAGCACACTCTCTGAGGGACAGTACACCCGCAGCGCCACCGAAAACATTGCATTCGGTGTCGGCAGCCAGTTGGCCCCCAGGCTCGCATTGGCCGGCGCGGCCAGCTGGATGGGAACAGTGAGTGTGCCGTCCGGATCGAACACCAACCCCTTGGTGCGATCCCCGATGCTGTTCCGCCACATGCCCTCGGGAAGAAACCCATCCGCGCCATACACTGTGAGCGACCAGAAGCCGCAAGCGGTGACGGGCGGTGGAGAGAGGTGCAGCGAGTAGTTGGCGGAGGAGCCGTCGTAGCGCAGGCCAAAGGGCCCCTGCCAGGTGAAGAAGTAGAGCGATTCGGATGCGGGCAGCGCTCCCAGACCCCCTGTGGATGAGAAGGCCGCTCTGAACAGAAAGCGATCGCCGTAGCTGATGGTAGGAGGAGAGGGGCGGAGGAAAAGGGAAAGAGAGAGATGGAGAGGGCGAGGGTGAGAAGCAAGAGAAAACAGGGAGAAGGGGAGAGCTAGGTTATGCAATGCAGCATTCTGTGCGTCGGGAAACCAATTCACACCCCACAGTGCTGTTGCCTACGCATGTAATCTCTCCCGCCCTCATTCACCCCCCCCAACGAACTACCCACTCATCCCCCCCCCAACGCACTATCCCAGCGACGTGTCAGCGAGCCAGCGGTTGACGACCACGGAGCGGTTCACGCCCAGCAGCATGAGCGCGTACGCGCCCCTTATTGTCACGTTCGCCAGTGCGTACGCCTGCGCGAGCGCGGTGCTCTGCAGCGGTGAGAGGGCCGCGGGGGAGAAGGGCGGCGCGGAGGGGGAGATGCCTATGCCTGCCAGCTGGCTAAGTGCCCTGTGGGGGAGGAGGGAAGGGAGGAGAAAGGGGGAGGCAGAACGGAACAAGAGGAAGAGAGGGGTGAAGGGGCAGGAGGATGGGAAGAGGGGGTGCATGGAGAGTTAAAGTGACGTCATCACATGGGCATGTGACGATTATAGGGAGTTAGGCAAGCATGTGGGTATAATGAGGGCGCAACACGGGACTGTGACTCACTCGAGGTTAGCCTGGTCCTGGGCGGGCGGGTTGTCCTGTAGTGTGCGGTCGATGAGCACCAATCGCTGCATGCCATCTGGCAGCCCCGCCAGCTCAGAGAGGTCGGGCGGCGGCAGGGGGGTGGGGGGGGCGTTGGTGGTTGGGCGCGTGAGAGTGACGTTGCTGGGGGGGAGGGATGGGGAGGGGAGGAAAAGCGGAATGAGCGGGGTAGGGAGCAGAAGGGAGGCACAGGGAGGAGGGGTTGAGGAGGGAGGTAGGGTCGATAGCAGAGTGACCTGAGAGGTGGGCGATGGGCGATGGGTGGTACGTGATGGGTGACGGGTGTTTGGTCATGTCATCACCTGGCCGTTTACCTCAGCAGGCTGCTGGCAGCTGCCACGTCATCAGGCCCCGCCACCAGCACGCGCACGATCACGAACACATTGCGAGTCCTGCTCCTCACACTCAACACTGTGTCGCTGCTGCTCGAGGCCTTCTCCTCTCCCCCTCCCCCTCCCCCTCCCCCTCCCCCTCCCCCTCCCCCTCCCCCTCCCCCTCCCCCAACCCCTCCCCCACCCCCACCCCCACTCCCTCCCCCGCCCCCACTCCCTCCCCCGCCCCCACCCCCTCCCCCTCCCCCACCCCCTCCCCCGCCCTCACCCCCACCCCCTCCCCCACCCCCACCCCCACCCCCACCCCCGCCCCCGCCCCCGCCCCCGCCCCCTCCTCCCCCCCCTGCTGCGCCTGCCTGACTAAAGTCGGTCCCCACTCCCCCCTGCCCCTGCCCCTGCCACTGCACCATGACAGCAAGCGGCCCGGCCCCATGGGTGCGCGCACCGAACACGGCGAGCACGTCGCTGAAGGGGTCGAGCAGCAGCGCGCTGTAGTAGCGCGGCTGGGGCACCAGCGGCAGAGAGAGCAGTAGAGGGCCCGCGGCGAGGTCCAGCCATGCTGACGCGTAGAGCGTGTCCGTGTTGGACACTGGGATGGTGGACTGCGGTGCAGAGGGATTGGGTAGGTGGAAGGATGCAAGGGGACGGGGAGGGGACGAAGGGGAAGAAGTAGGGGGAGGGGAAGTGGGGAGGAGGGGGAAATTGGGCGGAGTGGGAGGTGGGAGGAGGGGGAGGAGAGGCGAAGGGAAGAGTGTGAAGTGATGCACGCAGCCCATGCACATGGCACCCTTGGTTACCGGATTACCAAGCCAGCCTAGCAGCTGGTTGTGAGGCCGCAGCAGGTGAGTTTAGAGTCTTATACGAAGCGCACCTGGTCTTGCGCGGTGGTGATGTTGGTCTGCTGCTGCAGCGCGTTGATGGCAGGGTAGGTGGCGGCGTTGCGCTGCGATGTCACCAGTGGCTGCCCCCACACGTGCGCCGTCAGTCCCCCCTGCAGGTACCTGGTGGCATGGGGGCATGGGATGTGGCATGGCATGGCATGGCATGGCATGGCATGGCATGGCATGGCATGGCATGGTATGGTATGGAATGGCTGCCCCTTACGACATGACTCAAGTACCGGGTGTGTAAGCATCGAATTACGCGCATTGCATCGCATTCACCTGCCGTATTCGCCATCCAGTATTCCGCTAATGAGCGACGCGTTACTGCGACTGTCTGATCCATTCCCACCGGCTGTGCCGCCCAGCCTGTCTCCGCCAGCGGCGGACGGAAGAAGCCACGGCGCCGAGGCAGACGTGTTCGCAGGCGCAAAGGCAGAGGTCGGAGGAGAGGCGGAGGGCGAGGGGTTGGCGGATGGCGGCGGAGAGGCGGAGGCAGGGCGAGGAGGCGTGTCGGCAATGCTGTAGGAGCTCTGCGCGGCGACTACAACGGCTGCGAGCGACGCCACAATGAGGAACAGCGGCAGCCTCGCGGGATGCGAAGAATGGGCCGCCATGAATGGCTGAACGAGGGGAGCTGACAGCATCGCGCGATATGAGCGTTGCTTGATTGACGCATCAGCGTACAGTGAACGTTGAGTTTCACTTATCAGGCTGGTTCCGTCCCGCGTCAAAAAGGAGGAGCCCAAGTACCGACGATGGCAGAAGTTGGCGTTACTCGTCGTATCGGCTCGGTGAGACTCACCACCTCGCGAGCTCCGTCGACTGATGTCTTCTCACATCCCCATTCGGCGCAAACCCTTGAGAAAGCTCCGCCCACTGTTCTCTTGCATCCCCATTCCGGCGTGACCTCGCGACCCCAGGCGTGAATGTAGAGTAACGCCGAGTGGTGCGCGGCTGACGCCAGGCATGGCAGCGGCATCGCGATGCGGGAGACGCGGCGAGCGGACGTGACGTGCAGAGCGAGGCGGACTGCTTGTTTGTGACTTGTGACGCGCTACTGTGCGTGCGGGTGCAACAGCAGGATACGGCAAATTCGAGGCCAGAAACAAGATTCCAGCTCGGGCAGAATCAGGTGTTATGAGCGGTTGGGGGGCTGAGGAAATCTCAATGTCCCGAATTCGGCCTGATTGCATGAATACACTTCATATAACTCAAAATGCAAACTCATTATACGAGTCAGTGAGATAAAATGTTCTGTTACACTGAACCAGCTCACACGCGAGTCAACACTCGAGGCAATGTCGGGCTCGTCAATATCGGCTAAACACATAAGCCCAGCCCCCAAACACCCACAAGCCAGTAGACGCTGCTCACTGTGTTCAGCTCGACAAGATTCGAGTCGCTAGACATGGCAGACCTCCGATCTTCCAGGTACGCGAGCCCCGCCTCTCTCCCTCCGCTTCCCGCCGCACTGGCTTGTCCCCTTCCCTCTCTTGCCGTTCTCGCTGTGCCTGCTGAGCGTCCGCGGGCTTTGCGCGTCTCCCCCAACCCCTGCGCGTTCTCCTTTGCGCGCTCCTCGTGCGCCTGCCCGCAGGGACGACGAGGGCGAGGAGCGCGGGGGCTGGGCGCACGAAGACAAGGCGCGCGGGGAGCAGGGGCGCGCGCGCGAGTGGGAGGAGGCGGAGCGGCAGAGCCGCGAGGTCAAGCTGGGACTGCACCCGCTGCAGGTGCGCTTCCGCATTGTGACTGTATCGAAATATTTTGGACAGGAGACTGCATTTGCAGAGCTTCACCGAGTGAATCGGGTTCTTGCATTGAGCACCTCCATCCGTCCACCCCTCCATCCCCGCTGCAAGCAGACGCGCTACGTGGTGTGGTACACGCGGCGGCAGCGGCAGCCGCCCGGGCAGCGCAGCGCGACGTCGTATGAAGACAGCATTCGGCGCATCGCTGACTTCAGCACTGTGCGTGACTGGTTGGGGGGTTGGGGAAGAGCGGAAGAGGAATCGGGAGAGATAGGGGGAGGAAGGTAGGGGGGAGGAGGTAGGGGGTGGGGTGGTAGGGGAGCATTCGCCCTCCGAAGAAAGCTCCGGGCGAATGAGGGAGTTGAGCATCGTGAGCGTGGCTGTGGGCTGTCGTGGTGGGGGAGTAGAGGATACAGGGTGCGGCTCTATGGTGGAAAGGGGTAGAGTGGTAACTCGCTCTGTAGCAGCATGGGTTCGCCAGAATGTGTGTCATGTCACTTCCTTCCTCCCCTTCATTTCACATCACCGCCCAACCACCCTCACTCACTCCCCATTGCCCCTCTCCCCATCCCCCTTGTTCACCCCCCAGGTGGAGGGGTTCTGGGGGTGCTACTGCCGCATGGTGCGCCCATCCGCGCTGCCCGCTCCCACGGACGTGCACGTCTTCAAAGACGGCATCCGCCCGCTCTGGGAGGTGAGCGCCCCTCCTCTCCCCTCTTTCCACCGCTCAGAGTGTATCCCCTCTTCACTGCGCTGCCCGCCCCCACGGACGTGCACGTCTTCAAAGACGGCATCCGCCCGCTCTGGGAGGTGAGCGCCCCTCCTCTCCCCTCTTTCCACCGCTCAGAGTGTATCCCCTCTTCACTGCGCTGCCCGCCCCCACGGACGTGCACGTCTTCAAAGACGGCATCCGCCCGCTCTGGGAGGTGAGCGCCCCTCCTCTCCCCTCTTTCCACCGCTCAGAGTGTATCCCCTCTTCACTGCGCTGCCCGCCCCCACGGACGTGCACGTCTTCAAAGACGGCATCCGCCCGCTCTGGGAGGTGAGCGCGCGCCCGCCACACCGCTCAACCCTCTCTCGTGGTCGTCGCCTCGTGGCCTCTTCTCTTCCCTCTCTGTGCCCAGATGCGCCAGCCCGCCCTGCGGATCCCCTCCTCCACCTCCGCCCCTTCTTCTCGTATGCAGCAACCTGTTGCTTACCCCCTCTCTTCGCCCTCTGTGCGTCCACCCCCCCTTTCCCTCTTCCCCCTTCCTCCTTCCGTTATCCATACGTCCCCTCCTCCCAACCCCCGTGCCCCCCTGTAGGACGCGCACAACCGGCGGGGGGGCAAGTGGATGGTGCGCCTGAGAAAGCCGCTCACTGCGCGCATGTGGGAGCAACTGGTGAGTTGTTGCAAGGAGGGGCAGCGATGAACTCGAGAGGAGAGAGGGGGCAGATGGTCAGTAGCAGAAAGGGTAGCAGCCGGAGAGCACGGATTGGGGGTGAGAGGCAGAGGGGTAGAGAGGCAGAGTGGGTGAGAGAGAGAGGTTGTGAGAGGCAGAGGGGGAGACAGAGGGTGTGAGAGGCAGAGGGGGAGACAGAGGGTGTGAGAGGCAGAGGGGGAGACAGAGGGTGTGAGAGGCAGAGGCGGAGACAGAGGGTGTGAGAGGCAGAGGGGTAGACAGAGGGTGTGAGAGGCAGAGGGGTAGACAGAGGGTGTGAGAGGCAGAGGGGTAGACAGAGGGTGTGAGAGGCAGAGGGGGAGACAGAGGGTGTGAGAGGCAGAGGGGGAGACAGAGGGTGTGAGAGGCAGAGGGGGAGACAGAGGGTGTGAGAGGCAGAGGGGGAGACAGAGGGTGTGAGAGGCAGAATGGGAGACAGAGGGTGTGAGAGGCAGAGGGGTAGACAGAGGGTGTGAGAGGCAGAGGGGTAGACAGAGGGTGTGAGAGGCAGAGGGGTAGACAGAGGGTGTGAGAGGCAGAGGGGTAGACAGAGGGTGTGAGAGGCAGAGGGGGAGACAGAGGGTGTGAGAGGCAGAGTGGGAGACAGGGTGTGAGAGGCAGAGGGGGAGACAGAGGGTGTGAGAGGCAGAGGGGTAGACAGAGGGTGTGAGAGGCAGAGGGGTAGAGAGGCAGACGGGAAGCAGCTGGTATGACATGTGCCTCCGTCCTCCTCCTGTTCATCCCCCCATTCAACCCCGCGGCTGATGGCGGTGGTGGGGGAGCAGCTGGAGGGTGTGGAGGAGGTGTGCAGGGTAGGTGTGCCAACCTGTGTCCCGGTCCTCTTCCCTTCAATCTTTCCTTCAATCTTCCCTTCAATCTTCCCTTCAGTCTTCAATTCAATCCCCCCTTGCATCCGCTCCAATCCCCCCCTTCAGTTGATGGCGGTGGTGGGGGAGCAACTGGAGGGCGCGGAGGAGGTGTGCGGGGTGGTGCTCAGTGTGCGCTTCGGTGAAGACATTCTCTCCATCTGGAACCGCTCTGCACCGCACAGCCTGGTGGGTGCAGCACTTGCTGTTAAATCAGCCTAAGGAGTGCAGGACGGTCGCATCACATCACATGGGAGTCCTTACGTGGTTGATTGGGTGTGTTGATGACCACATGTTCAATCAATGTCTTTGTTTTCTATGATTGGGTGTGTTGATCACCACATGTTCAATCAATGTCTTTGTTTTCTATGATTGGGTGTGTTGATCACCACATGTTCAATCAATGTCTTTGTTTTCTATGATTGGGTGTGTTGATCACCACATGTTCAATCAATGTCTTTGTTTTCTATGATTGGGTGTGTTGATGACCACATGTTCAATCAATGTCTTTGTTTTCTATGATTGGGTGTGTTGATCACCACATGTTCAATCAATGTCTTTGTTTTCTATGATTGGGTGTGTTGATCACCACATGTTCAATCAATGTCTTTGTTTTCTATGATTGGGTGTGTTGATCACCACATGTTCAATCAATGTCTTTGTTTTCTATGATTGGGTGTGTTGATCACCACATGTTCAATCAATGTCTTTGTTTTCTATGATTGGGTGTGTTGATCACCACATGTTCAATCAATGTCTTTGTTTTCTATGATTGGGTGTGTTGATCACCACATGTTCAATCAATGTCTTTGTTTTCTATGATTGGGTGTGTTGATCACCACATGTTCAATCAATGTCTTTGTTTTCTATGATTGGGTGTGTTGATCACCACATGTTCAATCAATGTCTTTGTTTTCTATGATTGGGTGTGTTGATTGCCATTCTCTCATTTATGGCATGGCATGGAGTGTAACAACAGGCGCGGGACAGGCTGTGTGAGTCGATTCGGAAGCACCTCAACCTTCCACCATCCTACACCATGGTGAGACATGCCTTTCGCCTTCATGCCATCCATCACCCCCTCATGCTATCCACCACTCCCTCATTCTGCTTGTCTCCATGTGCCCTCGCGTCCTCACCTGCCCTTGCCTCATCCCTGCCCTCACCTCCTCCCTGCCCTCACCTCCTCCCTGCCTTTGACGCCACCAGGAGTACAAGCCGCACGACGCCTCACTCAAGGACCATTCCTCCTACCGCAACACGTGGGTGCGCACATAGCCCACGTGGCACACATCCAACTGACACACATAGCTTACATGTCATACGCAGCCTACGTGGCATGTAGTGTAGCTCACCGTGACACGCAACTTGCCCCACACACAAGCAAGTCTGTTTCATCCAGACCACTCCGGCCAGTGAGGCTTTGTGATGTAGCTGTAGCAGTGAGGCTTCAACATGTCTGCTCCTTGTCCCCTCATGGCACCATGCTTACTGTGCCCTGTAAGGGCCACTATGCCTAGTGTGCTGAGCAAGGAAAAAAGAATGGGTATAGCATACCGTACGTATCAGAAGTTTTAACATTCCCAACTGCTCAAGTGACTGAACTCTTTGGCACTGGTACCCATCCCTTATACAACGGGGTCGTGGGAAGTGTGTGGAAATAAATAACAAAAGTAAGCATATATATATATATATACATATATTTTTGTGAAAGCTTACACAATAGTACAAGCAAAACACTTCAGTCGTAACTGATGAACTGGGATCAGGCTGGCGGGGTCCCGCCTGGCCCTCCCCACAGCTTTACGGGGGTTTCACAAAAGTTCTCGGGTTCGTCCAGATGGACTGAAAGCTACCCTGCCACTTCAGGCCCACCGCCTCGTTGTCACATATCCGCCGCATGACACGTGCCTCATCCTCCGCCAAGTTCCACCTCGCCTTATCCTTCCTAGCCTTCCTGCTCGGTTTGCCACAGTAGATTCTCACATGCTTGTTGAACTCAACGTTAATCCTCCGGAGCACCTTCCGTGCCTGAAATTTCTTCACTTTGCGAAGCGACACCTCGCACCTTCCCAGCCACACCTGGTGCATCGCCACTGCCACCATAGTAGCCTCGGGAAAGCCGGATTTTGTCCCTTCTTCCCCGAAAACGAGGTCTGCCAGCCTGTCCACCTGCCTCGTTGGCTGCATCATGTTGAGCGCCGATTTGACAGCTCGAACCACTGGTGTTACACTCCTGCATTCAAGCAAACAGTGCTCCAAAGTCTCCACCTGCCCACAGTTCGGGCATGCCACCCCACTTTTCACGAAAGGGACCCTCTCCCCCACCTGTAGATTGAGGTTGTGCACTCGGAGGAGCACATCTCTCGCTCTGGCCGGAACGACCAGAGAGTCCCGTATCTTCCTGCTCCTCTCCCAGTCAACTTTCTTGCCTGCACGAGCCTCCCAGTCTTGCCTTTTCACCTCCACCGCCTCTGCCCCCTTACTCGGCTCCTTGAGCTCCCTGACTGAAGCCACCTCCTCATCTCTGAATAGCTTCGAGTTGAGCAACCGCACCCTTGGGTCTCCAGCCTCCCGTATCGCCCGTTTGTTCGACAATTTCGTCGGCACCACACTGTCGCAGCAAAGTACTATCTTCACATCCCATGCCATGCGCTCCCCTTTGCCGCTGAGCCCCCGAAGCTCCACCTTCCTTCCCAGCTTGTTGCAGATTTCCCAGAGACACCTCTGCCCACCTGGGAGTCTGGTGCTGACCAACGATGACTCAGCTGCAACCTCTTCCGCTGTCATCGGCGTCAGTACCCACTGTCGCCACCGCTCCGGTGCCGCATTAAACGCCTTTAGTGCCATCTCCGCCTCCTTTTTTCCTCCCAACTCCCTAACCAACAACACCTCCGGCTTGATCGTCCTTGTCCCGTCCCATTTCCTCAGTACCATGTCGCTCATACGCCACGTTCTTAGCTTCTCCGTGCCCTTCTGCCCGCCAAAAGGGGCGTTGCCATGATGGATAATGCTTTTGTTGTAGCACAGAAACTCCCCCTCTGCCTCCCATCTTGATGCCACTTCTGGTACCTCCACCATCGTTGATTTCAGGACTATTTTACACAGCCTCGCCCACCTTCGGCTTTTAATCAGCCCCCCTTTCAGCACCGCCTTGTGCGCATACAGCGTCGCCCATCCGAGAGGTAAGCCCGCCGCTCTCTCCGACAAGCCCCGTCTCAGTGAACACTCTTGCTTCAGCACCAGTCCCGCGCACCTTAATGCCACACCGTCAACCCTTCCTCTTGGATCTAAAACCCCCAAACCCCCTTGCTCTCTCGTCGTGTATATCAGGTCCCCACTCCAGAGCCCGAAGTGCCGCTCAGTGTCTGCATGGTTCCCATACACAAAATTTTCAACCAGCTTCTCTACCCTTCGCCACAGCAAGTCGTCCGACGGATAGACCTGCGCCTGAAAGAGGAAGATCGGCAGAACATAGCTGTTGATAATGGTCACTCGCCCTCCAGTCGTAAGGTACTTGGTGCTCCACTTGCTCAGCTCTCCCGCTGCTCTGTCAAAGGCTTTTCCCCACGTTGCCTCTGCATCGCCCCCGGGAGATACGGTATCCATACCCCCAGCAGCCTTTCAGCTTCATTTGCCCCCACCCACTTGTACTCCGTACCATGCGGCGCCTGTGACCCCACATTTCTCCCCAACGGCAGGACCGCGGATTTTCCTTTGTTCACCCTCAGTCCTGACGCCTCCACAAACTCTTGCAACATCACACCCGCATCCTTCAGCTGCTGCTCTCCTTCCAGCAACAAGGTCGTATCGTCTGCGTACCCCACATACGACAGCCTGTCACAGCCACCTTCTCCGATCCCCAGTCCCCTTCTCTCCGCAAGTCGACACAACGGCTCTACCGCACACAAGAAAAGGTACGGTGCCAATGGACACCCCTGCCGCACCCCTTTTTTCATCGAGATCTGCTCCCCTACCCATCCGTTAACGCATAGTCGTGTGTGGACGTCACTGTGCAGGGCTTCTATCCACCTGATGAACTTTGGCGGGAAGCCGAGCTTTGCTACCGTCTCAACCATGAAGCCCCTGCGTACAGATGGGTGTACATATAAGCATATATTTTATACGATGGGTGTACATATAGGTCTTATTCGAAGTTCTGATGTTTAGAGATCATTCACACCACTGCAGTCAATAATCACAGCACCCTCGAATCCCCGGCTATCGTACCATCGCTTGCGCGATACCGAGAGTTGATTTGGCTTCGCCTTGTCCTCGCGAAACGGTGCACCTCTCCATATCCAGTTTTCGTCACTTCGTTAACAGACTGGCCACATTTCGCAAATGCATACAAGTCATCGCAAACTCGCCGAATCGCGCATCCAAAGCACAATTACAGTACTCGCAGCGATTGATCCGCTCACGGAAATTACTGTACAGGCTTCCCATCCCACCCATGCCTCACATCTCGTGCGACTTGGATTCCCAACATCTACATGCGCGACTCACGGCGCCATCCCTCGAAGCAGCAGAACAAAGCCTATAAAGAGCCACCATTGCTTCAACAAACTTCAAGCAGCTCTACCCTTTTCTTTTCAAAACTGCTAAATAGCACAAACTCGCCGTTTCAGTCTCGTCGGATACAAACAGAAGCGAAAATGACTTCCTTTGGCCAGACCACTTTCTTCGTCGTCGTCCTTGCCTCTGCGATTGTACTTTCTTCTCCTGCGCGTGTCTCTGCTGCCGCTAACGCGACTTCTCCTGCTAACAAGACTGCTTCCGCTAAGGCGGGTGCTCCTGCTAACGCGACCGGCGCCGTAGTGGCGACGGCGAGGCAAAGCAAGGGCGCGGGCGAAGGAAAAAACTCCACATGCGCCTATTACGGCAACTACAACACTAACCCATACTTCAACAAAGGGCTCACCGCGAAGCTTCCTCCTGCCGAGTTCGGCAAGCGGTGCGGCGCGTGCTACCGGGTGGTGTGCACGAACGACACAAAGCGCTGCCACACAGGAAAGGCGACCGTGACCGTCCGTGTGGTCGGCGAAACCACCACGGAGAAACAGCTCTCTCTCTCCACCGCCGCTTGGTCCAAGATCGTGCACGGATCCGACACCGCCCCCGTCAGCATCACGTACAAGCGCGCCAACTGCGTGGTGTCGACCCTCGGATCAGGCGTCCGCGTGCGCAGAAACTCGACGGCGGAGAAATTCAACATTCAGATGGTGGGGCTTGCCGGCCCCGGCACGCTCAAGGAGGTGGAGCTCAGCGCGGACGGCAAGAAGTGGGCGAAGCTGACGCGCGACGGCAGCAAGGCCGTGTGGGGCATCGCGGGCGCGGAGGCGAAGGAGGTGGTTGGCGCGAAGAAGGCGATGAGCGTGCGCCTGACTGCGGGGCACACCCTGGAGAAGATCACGCTCGCGAATGCCATTCCCGCTGACTGGAAGCCCGCGACGGTGTATGCGTCAAAGGCCAATTTCAAGAAGATGATGGCTGAGAGCAAGTAGCGCAGCTGTGGGACGTTTCGGGGCACCGCCTGGAAAAGTATCTGTGCTCGTCTAAGGCCAACTTTATAGAGGCATTTTCGAAGGTAAGTGGGCGGTGGCGTGGCGGTTGACATAAGGGATGAACAAGAATGACTTGAAGCTCTTCAAGTGCTTTCAACTTGTCTGAATAGTGGGTGGCGGGTGGGTGGGGAGTGGGGCTGGAGAGCAGTGGGTTTGCAGAACTGGGGGAGGGGTTGGAGAAGGGAGTGTGATGGTGCTAGGGCTAAAGAATGCTCCTGTGTGCATGTACCGTACCTCCTGTATGGATATACCAGTGGCCTTGTATCCATGTGAAAAGCGTCTGACGCAGTTCATGGCCCCTGCACTGCACATGGCACACAGATTGGCAAGTATAAGCTGAGCCTGCACCGCACATTCTATGCGCAGTGTTCTTTACAGCCTTATAACTTAAATTAGAAGCTACATGCCATTACATCTAGCCAGCTATGTTGAGTTCATGATTGCACTTGCCACAAGGCTCAAGCCCTCACTTGGTAGTGAGTGACACCAGGGCCTAGTGTGCTCTGTAGAGAAGAATGCCTTCCAATCCTCCTTGCCTGCCTGCCTGTCTGCCTGCTGGTTAGCTGGCTGCCGCGGCAGCACTTGCGCCTTAGCTTACTGTCTCCGGTTGGCGTTCCAGAATTGATGCACATACTGCGTGCACACGTGGTGCATGCTCACAGCTCCATCCAATCCAGCACACAAGTGCTTCTCACAACCCTCCTCCACTCCCCCTCACAGCCCTCCCGCCGCCACGGCTTCTTCTGCCGACATGACGCCGTCTGGAATCGATCCCACACCCTTCGCTTGCCGCACCGCCGATTCGCCCTCCCCATGGCTACTCCCCACAACCCCCCCTCCATACTCCCCCACTGCTCTTTGTGCATCCATCCCTTCACTCACACTCCCTCCCGTCCCCCCACTCATCGCCTCTCCCCTTGACCCACTCCCCCCTAGTCGGCTCGCCCCTAATCTGTTCCCCCCAGAAGCACTCCCCCCCGACCTCCCCCCGTCCCCCAATGCCCCCATGTGCGGCTGCTGCTGCTGCTGCGAGGACTGGAACATGGGGATTCCCAGCCCTGCCACTGCTGCTGTGGCATCCATTCCCACCCCCTCCCCACTTGCCTGTGGCGGCTGCTGCTGCTGGTAGGGTTTGAACGAGTGCATATCCGCCTGCACCTGCTCCTGGTGACTCTGCTGCTGCTGCTGCCCTTGTTGTTGCTGATGCTGCTGCACTCCCGCCTGCCCCTGCCCCAGCACCCCACTCCCCTGCGCGGCCCTCCCCTCCCCCCCGTCCTCCGGAATAGGCTTCATCTCAGGGACCCCAGGGGGGTGCTTCACTCTCCCGGAAGACGTGGGGGAGACGGAGGGCTTGGGCTTGGCGCGCACGTGGCGCTGCTTGCGGGCGCGCGAGGGGCCGTGCACCAGACGCGTGAAGCCCAGGAAGCTGACCGTGCCGTCAAAGTTGGTCCACTCGTCTAACAAAGCTGCGTTGGCCATGGACTCTACCTGCCCCAACTCCTGTGGGGGGGGGAAGAGCGATGAGGGGGGCACAGAAGGGGCGCAGAGACGGGTCCGCAGCAAGGGGAGGAGGGAGATGGTGTTTTGGTAGCTTATTCTGAAGCTACCAGGAAGCTGACGGTGCCGTCGAAGTTGGTCCACTCGTCCAGCAGGGCCGCATTGACCATTGACTCCACCTGCCCCAATTCGTGTGGCGCATGGAAGAGAAGTGAGGGGAGGAGAGATGGGGAGCAGAGAGGCAACAGCAGAGAGGGGAGGAGGGAGGGTGTTTTGATTGGTGATTCTGAAGCCGAGGAAGCTGACGGTGGTGTCGAGTCCAAGCCGGCTGCGATTGCCATGGACTCTACCTGGCCCAACTCCTGTGGGGGGAAAGAGTAGCGAGGAGGGCAGGGAGAGAGCAACACGCCAGGTACGCCAAGTGCGATCACTACGGAGTTTACTAAACGGAGCACAGGCAGTGAGGCAAGCAAGCCGCCTCACCTTGACTAGCTCATCGATAGTAACGTGCGCCTTGCCGCCTCGCACGAACGTCTGGTACGCCACGCGCGCCCGCTCGGGCCAGTTGGGCAGCGCCTCCAGCTGAAACACGTTCAGCGCTGCTGCACAGAAGTCCGTGAAGGGCATCCGCGATATGCGCGCTGGCTCTAACTGTTATATGGAGGAGGGGGAATGGGGAAGGACGGGAGGAGGAGGGAAGAGGTTGAAACAGGCGAGCAAGTCCATGACCCTGCCACGCCCCACACACTCCCTGCCACCCGCCTCACTGCAACTGGCCTCGACCGCCTCCAGCTAAAACACGTTCAGCGCCTCCAGCTAAAACACGTTCAGCGCCTCCGCACAGAAATCCGTGAATGGCATTTGCGATATGCGCGCTAACTCCAGCTGGTGGTGGGAGGGGCATGTGGGAGTGGGGAAGGAGGGAAGAGGTTGCAACACAAGAGCGTGAGGAAAAACAAACCCAAAGCCATGCAGCCTGAGAGTCCATGAGCCTGTCACGCAGCTCACCCTGTCCCCCTTCCACCACCCTTCTTGCTCCCTATTTCCCCCTTCACTCCCCACGCCCCTCACCATCTTGAGCAAGCCGGTGGTGTGTGACTCCCTCATCGCTTCCATGGCTCTTGAGTTGACTCACAGCCACCCTGCTGTCTGCCTTGTCACCAACCCACTTCCAACCCCTTCACTCCCTACCCCCCCCCCTTCCTCACCGTCTTGAGCAGGTCGATGGTGTGCGACTCCCTCATTGCGTCTGTTGCCACTCGCTGCATTGCCTGCTTGCCACCCAGGCAGAGGGCACAGTGTGGCCGGTAGGGTGGCAGGGGGGAGGAAGAGGGGGGGAGGTGGCAGGAAGGCGATTATTGGGCTAACTCAGGCCACTCGCTGCATCGCCTGCCAGTCACACTGGTGGCACGTGAGGGCGAGGGTGCGTTGAAGAGAGGTGGGCGTGAGTCGGCATGTTCAAGGGAGTCGGACAGTCAACAGAGTCTCATCAAGTCATCGCAATTCAAGGCTCACGTTCTAGAGGTCGTTGAAGTCAATGAGCCCATCAAAGTCAACGCAAGTCAAAAGTCAGTTGGCCAATCAAAGTCAACGCAAGTCAATCTCACGTTTTTGAGGTCGTTGAAGTCAATGAGTCCATCCCCATCCACGTCCATGTACCCAAACTGCGCCCTCAGATACACCAACTCGTCCTCCGTCAGCGTCGGCACCAACGCCTGGTGGGGGGAGGGGGAAGGGGAGGGGAAATGAAGGTGGTGAGAAGGGGGAGAGGGGGGGGCAGGAGAGGAAGGAGAGGGTTTTTTAGATAACAAGAAGATTGTTTCTGCATCTAAGAACCCCAACCGCGCTTCACTAATGAAGAAAAGGTGGGCGCAGGGGAAGAGGAGGAGGAGGGGGGGGGAGGGGGGGGGGGAGCGAAACAAAAAGAAGGAGAAGCACAGCAGCTCTTGAACTCCAGCATCTCGTGCTGTGCTGTCCACCTCCACCACTCACTCACCTCCACCCCCGTTCCTGAGCTCTGCTCACCTTGAGCCCAGCTCGTCGGAGCGGAGAGAAGGAGAAGAAGGCGCGCAGGCTCTTGTACACCGCGATGTCCAGCGGGATGCGCGCACTGCTGCTGCGGATCCACGGGTGCGCTGCAGAGAGGGCACGGTGGGAGAAGGTGAGGAAGGCGGTTTGAAAGGAAGGGAAGGAGAGGGGGAGATCAAGGTGCGGATGAGAAGCGGGGTAGCAAAAAGTGTGGTGAACACAGGCTGCTGTGCTGCTGATACAGGGGTGCGGATGGGTTGGAAGGGGTGCGGATGGGTTGGAAGGGGTGCGGATGGGTTGGAAGGGGTGCGGATGGGTTGGAAGGGATGAGGGATGGGAAACGAGTGTAGGGTGGTCACGTGTGCATGCCACTCACTCAGTGCCTGGGCGGCTGTGGGGCGGCGGCGGTAGTCCTTTGTAAGCAGGCGGTGCACAAAGTCCCTTCCAGCATGCGACACCGCCGGCCACGGTGCGTCTATCAGGTTTGGCTCCAGCCGCAGCACGGCACGGAAAATGCCCGACTCCGTGCGCGCCCAGAAGGGTCTCGACCCCGACAGGAGGATGTAGGCTATGACTCCCACGGACCACACGTCAGCTTCGGTGCCGTAGGCTCGGTGGAGGACCTCCGGGGCGATGTAGTACGCCGAGCCTACGATGTCGTTGAGCTTCTGGTCGGGGCGGACGAAGTCGGAGAGGCCGAAGTCGATGGCTCGTAGTGCTGAGCCCTCGTCTCGTGACTTGAAGAGGAAGTTCTGATGGCACAGGGTGGTGTGTGGTGGGTGGGTGGTAGGGCGAGGCATGGGGGATGGAGGGATAGTGGGGAGGATGGAGGGTGGAGGGATAGGGGAAGGTGATGGGAAGAGGGTGGAGGGATAGGGGAAGGTGATGGGAAGAGGGTGGAGGGATAGGGGAAGGTGATGGGAAGAGGGTGGAGGGATAGGGGAAGGTGATGGGAAGAGGGTGGAGGGATAGGGGAAGGTGATGGGAAGAGGGTGGAGGGATAGGGGAAGGTGATGGGAAGAGGGTGGAGGGATAGGGGAAGGTGATGGGAAGAGGGTGGAGGGATAGGGGAAGGTGATGGGAAGAGGGTGGAGGGTGGAGGTGGGGGAACGTTGTTAGGAGTTGAAGTGCCAAAGAAGGGGCATCATCAGTTGGTCACAACTGGACCACCACCGTTCTCAGCTTAGTCTGCTTTCCTAGAGGCTCTTACCACTAGCGGTTCTAGGAAGCTCACGGACCTCGGGCTTTAAGTCGCGGTGCACGACGCCCTGCTGGTGCAGGAAGGCAATGATGTTGAGAATCTGGCGCATCACCTCCCTCGCCTCGTGCTCTGGGTACTTGCCTCCCCTGGGTGACATCACGGACGGGAGGTTAAGCGGGATGGGTTGGGGTGGGGGAAGGGGTGAGTTGTGAAGAGAGGACAAACGAGAGAGACGGGGATAAGGATTGAAGAGGGGAGGAGAGAGGTGCAGCAGTGATGGAAAACGCAATGGGGCGAAGAGGAAGGCAGACTGAAAGCGGTGGAGAGTGGTGGAGAGTAATGCAGAGTGATGGAGAGTGGTGGAGAGAGGGTTGTCAAGCAAACAGAAAGAAAGGTGGCGAGAAAGAAAGTAAACGCAAGAGTGGGAAAGCAGAGGGAAAAGGGCGTTACCGTTGCAGCAGGCGCTCTAGCAGCTCGCCGCCCTCACACAACCTGATGGGCCATGGTGGCAGGGCGGGGCGGGGAGGAGACGGGCAAAGGGAAACGGGAAGACAGCAGGGGAGAGTTGTAAAGAGTGCAGGAGATGGGAGGAGAGTTGTAAAGAGTGCAGGAGATGGGAGGAGAGTTGTAAAGAGTGCAGGAGATGGGAGGAGAGTTGTAAAGAGTGCAGGAGATGGGAGGAGAGTTGTAAAGAGTGCAGGAGATGGGAGGAGAGTTGTAAAGAGTGCAGGAGATGGGAGGAGAGTTGTAAAGAGTGCAGGAGATGGGAGGAGAGTTGTAAAGAGTGCAGGAGATGGGAGGAGAGTTGTAAAGAGTGCAGGAGATGGGAGGAGAGTTGTAAAGAGTGCAGGAGATGGGAGGAGAGTTGTAAAGAGTGCAGGAGATGGGAGGAGAGTTGTAAAGAGTGCAGGAGATGGGAGGAGAGTTGTAAAGAGTGCAGGAGATGGGAGGAGAGTTGTAAAGAGTGCAGGAGATGGGAGGAGAGTTGTAAAGAGTGCAGGAGATGGGAGGAGAGTTGTAAAGAGTGCAGGAGATGGGAGGGGAGGAAAAGCAGGAGGGAAGTAGGTTGGGCTGTGGAACTGATGATGAGCTAGGTAGCTATGTATGCTGAATACTCGTTATAGCAGCACTCACTCCATGGCTATGTACACGTTGAGTTGGTCCTCGTAGGCGTCAAAGAAGCGCACGGCGAACTCCTGCGGGCCCAGCGCGCGCATCAGCCGCACCTCCCTCTTCACGTCCTCCACCGCTATCACCGTCGTCATCTGTGGGTGGGGAAGAGAAGGGGAAAAGAGGGGAGAAGGTGGGGGGGAATGGGGCGCGAGTGAGGGGAAGGAGGGGAGAAGGTGGGGGGAATGGGGCGCGAGTGAGGGGAAGGAGGGGAGAAGGTGGGGGGAAATGGGGGGCGAGTGGGGGAAAGGAGGGGAGAAGGTGGGGGGAAATAGTGGGCGAGTGGGGGGAAGGAGGGAAGGATCGAGTGCCACTATTACTGAATGAAAGGGATGGGGGAGAGGGGAGGGGGAGAAGCGGGGGAGGAAGGAGAGCAAGGAGGATCCTAACCTGGCACAGCAGTGCCACGTCCACAAAACCCTAGAATGCGTCTACAAACATACACCCGTTTTCACAGGGTAATAATCCAATGTACCCCGGAGCGCGGCTCACATTGGCCTTGGGAATGACTTTGATGGCGCACTGCACGCCCTTCACCTCGCCCTTCTTCCCCGTCGCCGCGCACGTGTGCCCGAAGTGCCCGCGCCCCACCTCGTGCTCCAACTCGTACTTGGCGTTAATGTTCCGCGCATACCCGAATTTCTTATTCAGCTCCTTTCCCTCATGCCCCTCCCCCGATCCTCCGCTGCTCCCCGCCCCCGCGCTCCCTGCGCCCGCCGCTGCGCCGAACCCTCCGCCGCCCCCTCCGCCAACCACCACGCCCACGGGGATCTGGTTCCCGCCCCCCGCGGCGCCCTCCGCCGCGCCCATCTGCTTGCCGCGCTCGTCGTCGCGCAGCCGGCTCACGCGCGCCTTTTCCGCCGCCTGCTGCAGAATGCTCCCCGCGAGCCCGTCGAAGGTGGCGGGCGCGGGGGAGAAATTGGACAGGTGGATGGCGGGAGTGCCCATTACCGACATTGCGGGCGACTCGAACACCTTGTTCCGCGGATCCTCGAACGGGCTCAGCCCCGCCCTTCCCCCACCGCCCGCCCCGAACGCGCTCCCCGCGCCATTTCCTCCCCCGGTTGCTTCCCCCCCTCCCGCGTTCGATCCTTCAGCAATTTCGCCGTTCCGCTGTTGAGGTTGCGCCTCCGCGGCGCCTTTCTCCGGCGGCTTCTCATTTGCGAAGACTAACTCCTCCGGCTCTTCCGGTGCGGCATTTTTGTGTCGGCCCTTGTGTTTTCTCCGCCCTCCTTGTTGATCGCCATCCGCTAGCGGCTTGCCCAGGCACGCACCCATACGTGCGGTTACTGATAATTCCCAGAAACAAAGTGAACCGCGTGAACTTACTGATAATTCCCAGAAACAAAGTGAACCGCGTGAACGATGCCCTTGCGATTGCCTTGAAAATAACCGATGTTTTTCAGCTCATAGCGTCTACAATACGATTGTTATGACAGGTCAATAAATAAGACGGTTGGATGCTTCTATGTCGGAGCCAGAGTTTGCTGAGCTCTGCGCTGCGGGTCCCGCCCTAATCGATCGAACCGCGACATAACTCTGAGGCGTGATTCTTCAAAGCGTGAACGTTTGGATCAATATCTTTTTCAAGCTCACATTTCAACAACCCTCAATGCTGACACGATGGCGGTGAAGTATCTCTCCTCTCAATGATGACATGTTAGGTGACTTGCCATGCCAGCAGCGCTCGACGCGCAGCGTTTCCACGCTGGCGGAAACACTCCGCTTGTGCGCTACGCTCTGAGCCAACCATCATGCGCGCGCGCACCTACCTTCATAAGGGCGTCTCGCACGGTAGCGGGGGACGTGGCGGAGTCGACAGCGCACTCAACTCTGAGCGATAATTGGTTTGGATCAATCGCTTTGCTCCCGGAAGTCGGGGGGGTCAGAGTTGAGGCTCTTCATTGGCTGGATTTGAAAAGGCAGGCAGGCTTGATTGGTGTATAGATTAGGTTCGGGGACGCAAAGGGTTTGGCCGGCTGGTGCAGGTGTAGGGCAGTCTGGGGAATGTGCCGGGCTGGCTGGGTGTCATCGGATTGCCTTGCCTGCCTGGTCTGGATGCTGGTTGGGGCAGCAACAATTGATTGGCTGGACCCTGCGCTGCGCAGATTTCCCCGCACCAACCACACCGCTTCGGTCTTGCTGGTGGGCTCCGTATCTTGTCAACAACCAGTGAGGCCTTGCCTGCCCGCTGAGTATTTGACGAGTCAGCAAATTTCTCAACACGCGTCTGATTTCTATCGAAGTTGCGTCCTCCCCGATATCAATGACACAAAACAACCGACTACACCAACTGTACACCACCTTATGGAATTGGGCTCAGCAGATAGTATACACCAATGCCCCTTGGCCTGGGCAAGAGAATGCAACATTTGCTAGAAACAGCACACCTAAAACGGGTGTCTACATTAATATCTAACTGATAAATTACAAGATGGTAACAGAAGGAAACAGGAAATATGCAAGAGTTCTGCACTGCAATCAAACTGCAATCTCGGGTAGGTGTGAAAATGCAAGAGCACAATCAGCGCTTCTTGCCCATATACACTACCACACAACCCACTTCTCACAGACCCCTCTCCGCCCGCCATAAACCTTCCATCCCCACACACCATCACAGCCAACCCCTACTGCAACTCCTGCTCGAGTCACTCACGCCTCATCCGGGGGGAAATCCGGGCGGCGCGGCACAGGCACGGGCAAGTGGTCGCCCTTGGCGCCCTTGGACAGGGCCACCGACCCCGACTTGCTCGACTGCGCATTTGAGTTGTCATCCCCGGGCGTCCAGTGCAGCGTCTCCGAGTAATTCTGATAGCTAAACTCCGACGACTCTGACGTGGACGGGTACGACGAGGACGGCAGTGACGTGGCGTCTGACTGGGACGACGACATGATAGACGCCGAGTCCCGGTGGCTGCCGGCGTAGCTGGACGTGGCGTGGCCGAGATTCTCCACGAGCGCCTTGGCAACGTCGCGGATGGTGGGGCGGTTGACGGCCTGGTCCTGCACGCACGTGCGTGCGATGTCACAGAGCGCGTAGAGCTCGTCCAGGTCAAAGTTGCCCTCCAGCTTGGGGTCCACCATGAGAGGGGTCTTCTCCCTGTCCGCCAGGTACTCCTCCGCCTGCATTCCACCACACATGCACACACACAGGGGGGCACACACAAGGATTCCATTAGGAAAAAATTATATCATGATGGTCATGCAGGCAAGCAGGCATGCAGCTCCAGAGGCAGCAGGCCACCCAGTAGGTCACCCAGCAGGTCACACCCAGCACTCACCCAGTAGGCGAGGGGCTGCCACTCGTGGATGGACTTGTGGCCGGAAATGAGCTCCAGCAGCACGACGCCGTAGCTGTACACGTCCGACTTCTCCGAGAGAATACTCGTGTTGACGTACTCGGGGTCCAGGTACCCGAACGACCCCCGCACCGCTGTCGCCGTGGGAACGAGCTGCTCACCGCCGTCCGCACCCGCCCCGATGGGCGCTTCCTTGCACAGGCCGAAATCAGCCACCTTGGAGTAGCCATCGTCTGAGAGAAGGATGTTGGCCGACTTGATATCACTGTAGGGTGGGGGAGAGGGCGAAAGGAGGGCAGCGAGGCGTGAGCAGCAGAGGATGGAGCAATCTGGGATAACAAAGTAGCCTCAGGCAAAGAGCACAGGAAGTAGGCACAACGCACGAAACACTGAGACAGCGAGACAGAAGGTAAGGAAGGCAACGCACCGATGAATGAGGGGCGGGTCGGCACCATAGTGCAGATACTCAATCCCGAGCGCCACGTGGATGGCAATCTTGGTGCGGCTGTCCCACGACAGCGGGTACTCCTTCGCGCTCTCCCCATGAAGGTGCTCATACAGCGAACCCATGGCCATGTACTCGTAGATCAGCGCACGCTCGCCCTTCTCAGCGCAGAATCCCACCAGGTTCACCAGGTGCCGGTGATGCACGCGCGACAAGAGCTCCACTTCTCGGATAAACTCCACGTCGCCTTGCTTGGAGACTTGGTCCAGACGCTTCACGGCCACGAGCTGCCCGTCCTTGAGCGTGGCCTTGTAGACGGTGCCGTAGCCTCCCTTGCCGATGACCGTCTGCCAGTTGTTGGTGGCCGCCTTCATCTGCTTCAACGTGAACTCGCGCGTCGCCTCTGCAAAAGGGGAAAGCGGGGGAGGAGGAACAGAGAATGTGAGGATGGGGCCCTGCGGGGCAAGGCGAACGGAGAAAGTGCAGGCGGGCGAGTGGAAAGCGAAGGAGGAGAGAGAGAGAAGAGAGTGTGGGGAGTGGGAGGGGAGGAAGCAGCTTGGGCACTCACGGCGGAGGCCCTTGGTGAACATCTTGGAGATGCTCTGGCCGCGCTTGGTGTAGTAGAGGAACCAGACGGCGCCGCCCACTGCGGCGATGGCGATGGCCAGCGACACCGTGATGCCGACGATCATGGGCGTCTTGGACGCCGGCACGTACTCCGTGGTCTGTACTGTTTCTGTGCCGTTGTAGCTCGTGCTTGACAGCTGCGAGGCTGGAATGGGAAGGGGGAAGGAGGGGAGCAGAAAGGGCGAGAGACACCGTGATGCCGATGATCATGGGCGTCGGCACGTACTCGGTTGGTTGCACCGTCTCCGTGCCGTTGTAGCTCGTGCTCGAGAGCTGCGAGGCTGGAGAGAGGAGGGGGGAAGAGGGACGGGAATGGAATAGAATGGAAGAGAGTGGGCGGTGAGGCGCGAGGGGGGCCGGTGCGAGAGGAGGAGCCACAACTGGTGGCGGAAGGGGCAATGGCGGCAGCAGGGGGGCAGTGGCCGGCAGTGGGAGCACAGCTGGGCGGCAGTGGGGCACAGCTGGGGGGCAGTGGGGGCACACCGGGGACGGATGGGGCCGGGAGAGCGGGGGAGGGCGGAGGGGGGCTTACCGAATTTGAGGGTGTTGTAGAACTTGGTGCACTCCGCGGGGTCCTGCGGCTTCTGATCCGCCAGTGCCGGGTTGGCTGACGTGTTCAGACAGTTGGTGAAGTACCTGCATGGGGGGGGATGGGCGGAGAGGGAGGGGGTGGGACACACGGAGAGAGAGGGAGAGGGAAGTTGAGGGGTAGGTGAGAAGGGGTGTGAAGGGGGCAGGTTACAGCAGATCAAGTGACGGTAGCTGCTGGAGTTTGCAGAAATTGGGGGAGTCTTTGCCAGAAAGAGGTGTAAGCAATGGCAGTAGGTGGCAGGGGGGCGGCAAGGGGCGGCAGGGGGCGGCAGGGACTGACTTGAAGTCGAGGTCGCGGCCGGCAGGCACTGGCGGTACTGTGCCGTTGAGGAAGTTGGAACTCACGTCCCTGCACCGCAGGGACACGGGGAGAGCGTGACAGGGAACAGTGGGCGGAGATGGGCGGAGAAATGAGAGGGGAGTGAGGGAGGGGAGAAGAAGGGCGCAGAAGCAGCACGAGAGTGAGCTGTGCAGGCGGACGGGCAAGAATCGACGGACGGCAGGGAGGATGGTGGGGGATGTGGGAGGAGTGCAGCAGGGTGGGAAGCAGAAGGGCGGAAAAAGGCAGATGCGGGCGGAGAAGGGCAGAGAAGGGTGGGGGCGGGCGAGGTTGGGCGGGGCAGGGGCGGGCGGCTCACAGTGCGGTGAGCGTGCGGGGCGCAAAGAGCTCCTTGGCGGGCGGCAGTGGCCCCCACAGCTCGTTGTTGTACAGCACTCTGCGCAGGGGCGGATACGGGTGTGGGGGGAAGGGCAATACGGGGAGTGGGGGGAGAGGGGGAAGAGGAGAGGAAGCTGAAAAGAGGAAGGGGAGGAAGAGATGGATTGGGAGGAAGGTTCGTGGGTGCGACACGGCGAGGCACCGAGCGTAGCAGCAGGAGGAGACGAGCAGCGGCAGGTGAATGCGAGGCGAGGGGAGGCTGTGACTCGAGCAGGAAGGACTGGTGGTGAGGGGAGGGGAAGGCGGGGGGTGTTGATGCGGCGGGGGCGGGTGAAGAAGAGCGGACTTACATGTCAGAGATGTTTTTGAGCTTGAGCAGGAACGACGGGAAGCGGCTCTGGATGCGCGCGGCGGGCGCCACGAAGTGCTGCAGCGACGTCATGCCCGCCCACGATTCGGGGAAGGAGCCGTTCAGATTCAGCTTCTGCAGATTGCTGCCGCGCCGAAAAGGGGGGGGGGAGGGGGGAGGGGAGGAGAGGAGGAGAGAAGGGGGGGGGGTGGGGGGGGAGCGAAGGGGAGAAGCGGGGGAAGAGGGAACGGGGAGAGAGTTAGGATGGTGAGGAGCGGGAAAAAATGGGCATGGGCAAGCGATGAGTCTTTGGCCGAAACGGACGGTACAGAGCAGGTGGACGGGAAGGGGGGGGGGGGGAAGGGGGGAGAGGGGGGGGGGTGGGGGGGAGGATTTGAAAATGCGGCGTGAGCGGGCAAAGGCGACGGTCAAAGCAGCACACAGGGAGGAGGTTGATAAGCAGGCGTGGTAAGATTGATAAGTTGATCCTATTTTTGAGTCGACTCAAAAAAAGATTGGTAAGTTGATAAGCACTCACAGCAGCTCTAGCTTCTGGAGTGAGCCCCAGCTTTCCGGCAGCGTGCCTTGAAACGAGTTCCCGCCAATGTCCCTGCGATACGAGCGTAGCACACAAAGCCGTCAGTATGAGCCACCGGCAAAACGTTTAACTAAATAACGAGACACGTGGCGGTATGAAGCGCAGATGCCGTAAGCAAGCACGCACGATACTTTCCCAGTTAAAGACCACACGAGAGACAGAGCGGATTGAGGTGAACTTGCTCAATAGCGACCCCAAATTGACGAGAGGGCGAAAGGTCGAGTCGCGAGTGCGTACAGTTTTACAAGTTGAGTCAAGTTTCCAATCTCGGGCGGCAGCACGTCGGCCATCTGGTTTTGCGAGAGGGCGAGCCACGTCAGATTGCTCAACGTGGCGATGCCACGTGGGATTGACCCCGTGATGCGATTCAGACTCACGTCGCTGCGAGGGGGAGCGGGGAAAGCGGGGACGCGACAGGACCCCGGGAGCGATGAAGGAAAGTCGTCAGAGACCACACTATCCATCAGCATCGACAATGGCGGCAAAACGATAACAGAGTCACGAGAATGACGGTGGGGGTGCACGGAACGACAACAGGAAACCCGAAAACGCTCGAGAACTATCGAGAATGTTCGCGCATGTTAGAGGAATAGATGCGGCGGCGGCGACGGACTCGAAGCGCGGCGGCGAGCGGAGCGTACAGTTTCTGGAGGCTCTTGAGCGCCGAGACCTCCTCGGGAAAGGGACCCACGAACCGGTTGCCCTCGAACATGCTGCTCGCACCGCACCGTACCGCACCGGACCGTACCGCATGCGCAACCACACGGAGGAAAGGGCAGAAAGGCAGGGTTAGACGAACGACGGATAAGCAGATGAACTGAGACTCGATAAACAGGGAGTGCGACCGGGAAGGCACGGAAAATCAAACGTCAGGGATCGACTGTGGATGGCGAGGAGCTGGCGCGACCGACTCGAGCGCAGCACACGGACGGGAGGCAAAGGCGACGCGGCTCACATTTCCTTGAGCTTGGAGAACTTGGAAATAATCGGCGGCAGCACGGGGCCGTAGACGTCGTTGCCCTGCAAATTAATAAGCACGAGATTCTCCAGTGCCGTCATCTTGGCCCACGGGATCTGTCCCTTTAGCGCGCCGGGCGACATCCCCTTGCCGTACGACGGGTCCTTGTCCGTCATCTGGGGGTTGCCTATGTCGCTGCGCGCGCGGAGAAAGGGGAGAACGGTGCGCGGAGAAGGGATGAGTTGAGTGTCGTTGTAAGATGAAGGGGGGTTGGGGGCAGGAGGGGGGGAACGTGAGGGAAAGGAGGATAGGGGAAAGCTGGGGGGGCGGGGGGAGGGGGCGGGGAGAGGCTAGTCCATAAAACGACTTGGGGGCGGCGGGAGCGGAGGGGTGGGGGCGGGGGGGACGGCTTACATGGCGTTAACGCGGCCGTCAATGTCGCAGGTGATCCATTTCCAGAACTGCACGCACGGCTTGGATGTGTTGTACTGCATGCCCAGCGACACGTTCGCCCACGACCCCCACTTGAAAAACACCTCGTGGTTGCCGAAGGCTTTCGCGAATGCCAGCAGTGCCGCCTCTGCACAAGCCACGGCCATGAATAGATATTCGTTAGAAGCGAAGAGGAAGTTAGTTTAGCGCAACGGCAATGACACTGGTAGTGGCCGTTTCGAAATGGGAAAAAAGGAGCAGGGAGAAGGAACAAGCGGCGAAGTGGAAACTATATTGGTGCCGTGAACCGACAATGCGTGAGGCAATGCTCGTACTTTCGGCCATGGCGACGGAATCGGGGGTGGAAAATCCTGGAATCGGGATGATTTCATTTGCGGGATCCCCTGGTGGTGGGGTGGGCGGTGGTTGCGACTGTGCGGAGACCGCCGTTAGAGATATTACGACTACTAAAACTGCTAGTGACGGCAAACACTGACGGATACCCATGCTGGGCCAAAAAAGGAACGCGTGGCGGCTGCCAGTAAGACGGACGTAGAATCGACTCAAAAATATACTCTCCTCAAGAACTTCTGATCTGTACTTCACGCCTGCCTTTGCTCAGAAAACAAGATAGCACTTGCGCGTAATATTTACGAAGGACGAATGAGCAGAAGTGCAGGTGACGAGAACTGGTGGGGCGAGCGTAGTGTACATAGGTGGGTGGGTGAGTGGGAAAAATCAATCTCAGCTGAGAGCCACGGGAAGGGTTTTGTGCACCATGCCTCGTGCTAAAAAGGGGGAAGGCGGAAGCTTTACAGATGGGGAGAAGCGGGGATGGGGGCAGGAAAAGGGGGATGGAAACGCGTACAATAAAGTCCCCCTCTCCTCCCCCTTTTCTCCCCCACGACACAGGCCACACCAAACCAAGCTACACGTAACCGCCAATGGCAGCTGTCTTTCCGCCGGTAACCTCCAGGTTCCGCGCGGACTGGCAGTGTGCGGTTTCGGTAGGTGTGGGTAAGAAGCGCGTATTGAGCACCCGCGTGCCCCCTGATCCAAAACATCAAGCCAGTGAGTGGGAAACCGCTTTCTGTCCACCGAAACCAAACATGAGTGCTGCACTTTATCTAAATTTGGTTACTCAACGTTAACAACCGTGAAGGCACCCAGCTAAACATTTAGTTACGTATAACTACCTGGGAGACCACCCAGTTCGCTGTTTCCCTGTGGATTCCCCCCTACATTCCAGCACAGCCAACACCTCGGCTTTTAGATATTGAGAAGGTATTGTACAGATAAGCAGTTTCTTCCTCACGCCTGAAATGTTTCCCCGCAGCCCGCTTTAAAGTGCAATCCAGGGGGTTACATTGCCAACTACAAGATACAGAGCTGCTACCTACAGTGCTGCCTGAGGTTCCCTTCTGGTCCCCTGCTGTCCGAGTCCCGCACTCACAAAAGACCCTGTCTGCTGAGGTAGGTAAGCGGGACAAAGAATTGCGGCCCCGCCAAAACAATCGCCGTTTCTTGTTCGGAGGAGCTCACCTGCCTGACATGAGCACCACCAGCGCATTTCTCCTCTCGCCACCATTGCCACCCAAGCATTTTCCCAGGCTCCCTAGTTAGAAATCACAACCGAGGTCACTGCGACATGATGCGCTGCACTGAAAACACGCCCTTGCAACCGTACACATTGTCGTTTGGGCCGGTATCCACCTGAAGCAAGTGGTCAATCTCGACAATGTCATGTTACTGTAAACGCCATTCACTTGCCCTCTCCTCTAATCAAAGCACGACATCCGAGGCGCGGGGACAAGAACATCAGAAACGACAGCACCACTTGGCACGTGTCACACATGTCGCTCGAGTCAGCGCATGATATGCGCTTGAGGCTGGTTCGTTGCTCGCAGTTATTAGTACACTTGAACTTGGAAAATCGGGGGCCTCTGGTCTCTACACTGGTATAGGTTCAATGCAACTCACTAAGACGTTTCAAAACTCAAGCACACAATATTACAGCATATTCAAAATTCTTTCGCAAGGCAAACTACCAAAACCAATCCATATCTCCAGACTTCTCGTCTTCAGCCCAAGCTCCCCACCGGCCCTTGGGTGTCAAAGCCGAGCCAGCATCCTCCCTTCGACCCTCCATCCCAACCGCTCTACACTCCACTGCACATCCACCCACACTGCTTGATACACCTGGGGCCTGCAGCCCAGACAGCTGCTGCTTCCCCCCCTGCACACCTCCACTCACATCCCCTCCACCACCACCTCTAAAGCTGCTCCCTTCTCTGTAACTGCCCCCATCTTCCCTGTAAGAGGATGGGGCAAGCAGGCTGCGGTGGCGTGAGGCGCCACCACTTTCCCTGCTACTGCTGCTGGTGCCAAAACCACTCTCTTGCGACACACTCCGAGGCACCCCAGCCGACCTCGGGACCTCCAGAGAGGAAGAGCGAGGCACGATGCTCCGGGATGGGGATGAGGAGAGACGAGAGGAGGGAGAGGACGTGTAGCTGTCATGGGAGGCAGAGGGGCGGAGAGACGACGGCCGCGAGGAAGACGAGAAGAACCGCGGCGAGCCAATCAGGGGCTCTGCTCCCCCTCCTCCTCCCCTCCCACCGCCACCACCAGCAGAGGAGCCAGCAGAGGCACCCTCAGCACCATCTTCACGAGCCGAGGCACATTCTGCAGATACCGAGGCGAACAGAGAGGTGTGGGAGCGGCGAGGGGAGCTGACTGCCTCAAGGGCCTTCTTGGCAGCGCCAACCACTCCCTTGTGGCTCAGGGCGCTCAACAGGCGCCGGCCAGGCGTGGACGCCTCTCCTCCCCCAGGCTGTGAGTCGGCGGGTAAACTGCAGGGGTCGGGGGCGGTGCAGAACGGTGCCGGAATGTGGTTGAGATCGCGCTTGGGCTCTGAGTGCTGCTTGCGGAGGCTGCGGGCATCGTCGGATGAGGAGGAGCGAGCAATGAGGGAGGGAATACGGGAGGGCGGGCGGGAGAGGGGCTGAGAAGGACTGGAGATGGTAGCGGGAGAAGCTGGGCTGGTCTCGCTTGGTGCTTCCGAGTCGTCTACGTTGAGAGGTGACAGCGATAGGTTCAGTTTTCCTCGAATGCTGTTACTTCTGGTGACGGTACTGTTGCTGTTGTCAAGACTGCTGCCAGTGCTGGTGTCAATGCAAGAGACAGAGGGAGCATTCAAGTCCTTAGTCTCCTTGTCTTCTCTCACGGGCGATCCCAGCCAGAAAAATTCCTCCTCTTGCTCCTTTTCCTCCTTCCCTCTCTCTTGCTGTACCCCCACTCCGCTCCTCCCACTCTCCTCAGCAAAACGGCTAGCAGCCACCCGTCTATCCTCACTCCAGCCCTCTGGTTCGGCACTCCCAAGCCTGCTGGACCCCTTCTGTTCTCTCTTTGAAGGGGACGAAAGCGAAAAGCCCACTCTCCCGAAGCTCACCGCCTTGCTTAGGGCCGGGCCTCTTCGTTCCTTCTCCCTTTCTTTCTCCCTCTCCCGCACCTTCCCCTCATCATTGCCTTGGCCATAACTAGAGGCCGCTGGGGCAGCAAGAGACTGCGATCGTCCCATGCTCAGGCTCATGCGCAGCGATCTGCTAGCAGGGCTATCGCTCCTGTCGCTCTTATCGCTCCGACCGCTCCGCTCACTCCTCCACACTCCCTCCCTCCCTCCCCCTCCCTCACCTTCCATTCCTTCTCCCCCGTCCCCTCCCCGAACCCCGCCCACCCACTTTGCAAACGCCCGCTTCTTGCCCTCCTCCCCCCGTCTCGCCGCCCTCTCCCTCTCGCGCTCCTTCTCCCTCTCCCTCGCCGCCTGAACCGCTTGCTGCACCTGCTGCTCCTCCCGCCGCTGCAGGCGCTGCTGCTGCGCGGCCCAGCGCTGCTTCACGCGCTCCCACGACTCCTCGTCCTCGTCCTCGTCCGATATCGCGTCCGCGTCCATCTCCCGCCCTCCGCGCGCCAGGTGGCACGATCTCCGCGCCGCAAGCCTCTCACGAACGTCCGAAATTTGCCGAGCGACGGTCGCGCTCTCCCCGCCCCTGCCATCCCCGATATACGCGTCCTCATCATCTTCGTCGTCGTCTTCAAAATCATTCTCGATTTCCTCGAGCGGCGCGATCGGGGATGTCATGTCGTCGTCATTTTCTGCTTCACTGTATGCATCCTCGTTAAGAGCATCCTCGTCGTCGGGGTCTTCTCTTAAAGCTAATGCCAATCCTTCCTCGTCTATCTCCAACCCATTCCCCTCCTCCTCTTCCTCCTCGTCATCCTCCTCCAAATCCTCCTCTCCATCCTCGCGTCGCGGCCAGTTGCTATTCTGGACGGTCCGTGACGAATTCGGAGGTTGCATTGATTTCAACGACCCTGTGCTGCTGACACGTGGAACGGGCGGCTTGCGCGCGGAGTGGTAGCCGGAGGCGCGCGTACGACCAGAGCTGCTCCCCACGTCGCCGTTTCCGCGGGATGGGAGAGGGGGGCGGGCGTGGGCGCGAGGGGGAGTGATAGAGCCGGGAGGCGCGCCAAACGCGCAAACCATTCCGTTCTGCTGCGCGCGGCTTCCCCTCGCACCTGCCCCCCTGATGCCGTCTTTTAAGCCCTGCTGCTGCAACTCGCTCTCCCTCGACCAATCGCTGTTCGTCTCGCTTCCCGCCTGCCAGTCCGAACCTGGTGATGTAATTTGCTCCTGCGGTGACGTGGAATGGGGCTCCGCTGACGTGGAAGAACTCTCGAGAGAGTTGTCGCAGGATTCGCCACCTATGCGACTCGAGTCCCCATTTATGTCGCCAAGGCTGTCGCATTCTGAGACTCTTATATCTTGGTATCTCCCAGGGACGCCATCAAACTCTCGACGTTCGACAGTTTCTCCCATTAGAGCGGCTTCGGCCGTTCGTTTACCCGTCGTTTCTTGTAGCGGGGTCTGGGGCGGTTCCTCTATAATCACCTCCACGCGTCGCACCCGGAAACCGCTGGCCGCTCCCGCCGCCGGCGTCGATGATTGCGGCGGCGCTGGCATTAAGCCCCCGAGGAGGAATGTTGGCAACGGTCCATCGCCTGCGACGGTCCTCTCTTCGTCGCCTGCGAAATTCAGCGAGAGAGCGACGCGCGTGCCGACAAGATCGCCAGCTCTGTCGCTTTTCAGCAGCTTGAAGTGAATTCGCACCGAAGCGCGTTTGTTCTTCGTCACCGCCTCTACGGCTCTCGACCAATCAGCTTCATAGAGCCCATCCGCCAGATCGTACAAGCTTTTCCCGCCAAAATCTTCAGAGCTGGTGTAACCCAGGTCGCGCAACAACCCCCGGCTGACGTGTGCAATGCGGCCTGAGCGCGCCTCCAGCAACAGCTTCGGCTGTCCCGAACCTTCGACTTCCGACGCTACCCTTGCCGAAGCTGTAGCCTGAGGAGCTTCCCAGCCACCACCGGCGGCTGCACCCGAGCCAGTGCGTGCTGCTTCGGAATGCAGCCCGGCAGGTTCGGCTGCAGATAGGACACTTGCGGATAACCCGGAGGCCGAAAATGCAGAGACATTCGATTTGACGTCGTTTTTGTCGTTTCCGCGCGAAAATGAGGAGGAGCGGGGATTGCCGCTTCGTGGCGAGAGGAGGCGAGAGAGGGAAAACGCTCGGTCGGAAGGTTCGAGGGAAGATGCGTCGGCGAGTCGAGCACTGGTGATGGACTTCCGCAGATCGAGGGCCATGGTGGAAAGAACAGAGGGAGATTTGACTGAGTAATGAAAAGATTTCACGCTCGATTCGCGAATGAAACTGCGGAGCGCATTCGCGTTCCCTTAGGAACGTACGGTGTTCGTATATTTCGAAGGGAGGAGACGCCTACAACGTGCTATGGGAGTAAATGTCAGTATTGAGTAATACTAAGACTGCAGCTGTAGCTGATAGGAGCGTGGAAGAAGCATAAAGCTAGGTGTGGAATGGTCGGTGGAGGTACATTGTTGGTGCAGAGACCTGCAGTGGACGAGCCGAACAAGAGGGGAGGCGAGTTTACGGAGTGGTGGCTGGCGGCTAGAACAACAGGATGGTGACGATGACTCGACCTGCCTGAACTGAAGCAAGCCGAGCGTTTAAGGACGCGGCACCTGTTTTCATTTTACAAGGATCGTGGCCTCACATCGATCCTGGCATATCGATCGGCACACCGATGTGCCCACACTGCACATTTGCGTTGGGGTAGACACATCGAGCTATAGGTGCCAGGATCGAAATTGCAGGCTCGGGCAGGTTGGAGCTGCCATTACACTTGAACGCGCAGCCAATCAGGGCAGAGCGTGGATGGTCGTCCAGCAATTCCATTCGCAGCGACTCAAGAATTTTTGGCCTGCGACCGTGGGCGACGCCGATCGATCGAGGCTGTCACCTGTGGCGCGATATGCTCTCCCGCCAACCCTAACGCATGCACCACGGCACGTCGATCGTGCGAGCTCCAGGTGCCACCAATTTGGGTACCCGTTTACTGTACCTTCTCGAAGCTCAGCGAAAAAAGGATACCAGGCATTAGCGATGTCGCCAATACACTGTACAAGCGGCACATCGAGCCCCTCCCACGATCGATCCTGGCAAAATGAAAACAGGTGCCGCGTCCTAAAAAGAGGCCGTTACGCGGACAAGCACGACGTACGCTACGGGACAAGGATTTGGGCCTCCCAGGCCTGGCGGTTAGATAGAGCCACGAGGCAGTTAGCGTGGAGAAAAGCGAGCAGAGAGAGATTTGTGGAGAAGGAAACACAGGACTGTAGGGGTCGTTGCGTTGCGTGATGACAGCTGGGGCGCTTCTTACAGTGCATGCCTTGGATGGAGTGGATAGCAGGGAAGGGAGAAATGCAAGATGGGGGAATCTAGAGCAAAAGGCGGTGAATAGGTGAGTGAACAGGTCGAAAGAGATCAAGAACATCTTAGTGCGGTTTACATTTTTCCCAGGCTCGGAGACAGGTGACCACAAAGTGACGGATATTTGTGGAGACGCTGCTATTCGCATCGAGCCGCTTCGACAGAGGTTGGGGCAAAGCAAAGCAGTGATGGGGGGATGAGTGATTGGCGCAACCGTTGTACAGTGCTGTATGGGCAGAACGGGACGACCGAGGTTAGGGGGGTTTTTGAAGCAGAACAAAAGATGCTGATGAGAATCGGGAAAGTCGGAGACAGGAAGTGGAGCTGGTCGGCCAGCTTTGCGGCCATCTGGAACAGACCTAAGAGGGCTCTCCAACCGCCCTAGTTGTCTCGCTGGGCAGCGCAAGGTGCCTGCCCTCACGCTCAGTTACGACTGCTATTGCTGTATGCATTGTCCTCTTTAATGTATACTCCAATTCCAAAAAAAAAAAAAAAAAAAAAAAAAAAAAACGGGACGACCGAGGGGGGACCAGTTGAAGGGGAGACCAGGGATGGGGGCCTTGCGCCGCACAATTATGTACAGAAGCGTGCCAAGCAGAAAGGCATGAAAATTCTGGCGTGAATAGCCCGTAAAGTTTTAACCTCCAAAGAACATTCTCAATATTCCTTCAATTACAGCTCGGCTTAGGGCGGGTCCGAAGTGAAGCCGACATCCGTTTATATCCGATGTCGGTAAATCCTGACGGTTGGAACTCTCGATCCGAGGGTTCACATTACCAACATCCATCGATATCCATTCGACGCTTCACTTCGGACACGCTCTCAGAACCTTTGGTTGTGAATGTTTCGTTGTGTGGGCAATGCTGCTTGTACAACCTGGACTGAGGCTAATGTTGCCAGGGTGAATGCTGCTGGAAAACATTCAAGTTCGCGGACATGTACAGTGCTGTACGATGCCAAGAAACTGATTGTCGTTCCGCCAATCAGCCGAGCTGCAAAAGTGCGGTGTTATCATGAGGAGACGAGAGGGAGAGTGCAGCACATTTGTCCACATCGATAAATGAAGGTGAAAATATGCAAAAAAATTTCCGTGCTCTGCATTTTAGACTAATGATAATCTGTTTTGTCTGATATTTGACTGCCATTCACACAGGAGGCTTTGAGCAGTTTATCTCAACTATTAGAATAAGCTGCTTGCTGCTTCACCTGACCAGATTTTACCCATGATCCAGCACAATACAAAGCTCTTCACCATACCAATTGAGAGGTTTTGCCACCTACATGTGAATTCTCGATCAGCACGAATCAACTCATGCTGCCAGCCAATACTGTGCGAAATCCCTCACCACGTTCCTACAGCACCATAGCTAAAATCGGACTCCCCACTCTCTCCCTCCCAAGACCCTTTCCCAACATCCCCACTTTCATCATCATCCCTTAGCTTCATGCCGCCCTCCTCAGCTCCCTCCATTGTCACATCTTCATCCGACCCAAAACCTCCCTCCTCCCTTCGACCAGGAGTCGTGCAAACGACAACATCAACTGCCATTTCCCCTCCCTCCATATCAACAGCTGCATCCCCTCCTCCACCATCCCTTCCCATAAACCCTACATCCATGCCCACATCTACAGAATCTATAGCATCTACGGCATCTACAGCTTCTACAGTAGCCTCGGCCCCATGCTCCATAACCCCATCTAGAATCTCCTGCCCCTCCCCAACCTGCCCAGTAGCTTCCCACAGTCTCTCTGCCCCACCACCATCACTTCTCTCCTCCCTTAACCCGCCCGCCCCTGCCGAATCCACTCCACCTGGTGCCGACAAGACCGGGCCTGCCACATTAACAGACAAACTACTCCGCCCCTTACCGCGCACTGCCAACCCCATCTCCCGCTTGATAGCACCCCAGTGCCCGTCAATATTCCCTGAGAAGCTTCTCGCAAGCTTCCCCACCCCTCTAGTAGCCTTCTCCACATTCCTCACTGGCTTCTCTAGCATGCTTCCCATGCGAGGCGTGGGAGGTAGAACCCGGGAAGGCCTATCTGGGACAGGCGGCGGCACCCCTCCTGTCGACACAGAAGCTGCCACCGCTGATAGCTTATCAGCAGCAGGGCCTAACCCCGACCCCTTGGAGCTAAATGATCTTCGCAACAGCTGCCCGCGGGGCGACGACGCTTCCCCACTAGAGCCACCCCCAGAGCCCCCCCCACCAGGTGTTACTACCCTGAGACCTGTCCCAAACTTGTGCAGTAGCTTCTTAGCACCCCGAGCACCAGACGAGCCAGCCCTCTGCTGGCCTTCCACGCTTGGCCCTGACCCTACGCCCTCCTCTGCACCCCGTAACTCCATCTCCCCTGCCCCCACCTCATCCTCCCCCTCGCCCTCCCTCCCTTCCGCCACATCCCCCCCATCCAGAACCCCCGTCCCTCCAGCACCCCCAGCTGCTCCTGCATCCTCTGCTGCAATCTTCCGCCGCTCTGCATCCCAGTCCCGGCCAAACGCCGGCCCGCCCTCCGACAGATTCCTCCGAAAAAACATCTTCGTGGGGACTCCGATCCGAGAAGCGCGGCGCTCCTTGGCTGTGGGGTCGGACTGAGGCGCGTTCTTGCCACTCCGGAAGAACCCAGGCGAGGGAGGCACGTCTCTGCCTACAGGGCCATCATGGGAAGCCATTCTTGTGTGGTGTGGTGCGGGTTTGGGTTCTCTCCTCTTCCTCCACCGCTCTGCTGCTGCTGCTGACACCTGCAGAGGGCCGCTGGCTACCCTTCGACTGAGCTCCTTAGGGTCTACTGTGCCGGCTAATCCGCTGCTGGGATGCACGGGGCTGTCGCTGGCGATTCTAGGCAGGTGCGGAAGGGAGATGCTGTTGCTGTCGTCCTGTGAGGCGTGGCTCAGTTGACTTGCTTGACTGTCCTGTGGCGACCAGCCTGGTAGGGAACTACAGGAAGCATCAAACGGGCTGCCGCTGCTGATGCTGCTCGGGTTAAGGCCCGCTTCCCCTGCCCCAGCTGCTGCTGTGCTCGTGTCCTCGGCCTCTCCTACCCCTTCCCCTTCTCTCCCTTCGCTCCCATTGACCTGCCCTGCTGCAGACCCTCTTTCTTCTCCTCCCTGCGCACCTGCCTCCCCGTTTTCCCCCATCACCACGTCCCCCTCCTCCCCTCCCCGCGCATCTAGCTCCGCCTCCTCCCCCTCCCCCCCCCATCCGCGCCAGCAGCTCATCCTTATCCGCGCAATCCCCCTCACCCTCCTCCGCCTCCCCCGCCCCCCCCCCCCCGCTTCCTCCCCTTCCCCGCCGCACCCTTGTCTCTCCTTACTTCTCTGCCGGGGCTCCTCGAAGATCTCAATGGTGGGTGGCTGCGTGCAGTACACAAAGGACTTGAGCGCCGCGCTACCGCCCTCCCTCAGAGGCTCCTGCTGCTTCCTCTCGATGAGCACTCGCAACAGGTCCATCACCTTCACTGCGTGTCTGAGCCCCATAATAGGGTCAAGCACCTGGCGGGAGGAGGATTGGAGAAAACAGATTAGCTAATCACCTGCCGAAGCAGCACCTCCTCTCAATGAGCACTCACAGTAAGTCCATCACCTTCACTGCGTGTCTCAATGCCATAATAGGATCGAGTACCTGGCGGCATGAGGACGGGAAGAAAGGGATTTCTTAAGCTCGTGAATAAGCGATTCTGGCTGCTGATTCCCCTTTATCCGTTCGATGAGTCCATGTGACTGGCTCCCTGCTGCTCTCAATCAACGGTCAGACCTACCTGCATGCGCTGACTCAATCCCTTTGTGAATCACCTGATGATCCGATCACCAGGTGATTTGAATCATCTCATTGCAACCCACCTGCGTCATGTTGGGTGTGAACGAACACCACCACAATGTTCCGCGCGTTCATCTTGTTGCGCTCTTCGAAATATACCACCCCACCTGCTCCCTCTCTCCGTCAGCCCTCTGCTCTCTGCTCTCCACTCTCTGATCCGCACCATGTGATGCTACAGTTGAACCACCTCAACCCAGCTTAACCCAGCTCGACCCACCTGAGTCATGTTGGGAGCGAACACCATGGCAATGTTCCGTGCGTTAAACTTGTTGCGCTCCTCGAACTGCACCACCCCATCATCTCCCTTTCTGTTCTCTGCTATCTGCTCTCTGCTCTGCACCATGTGATGCTACACCCGAGTCACCTCAACCCATAATAACCCAACTCGACCCACCTGAGTCATGTTGGGCGCGAACACCATGGCAATGTTCCGCGCGTTCATCTTGTTGCGCTCCTCGAACTGCACCACGTCCGCCATGAGCCCCACCACCCAGTCCAGCAGCATGCTCTGCGTCTCCGGCAGCTCCGCCACCAGCGCCAGCATCTGCTCCTCCGTCTCGCACGCCGCCACCACCTCCACTGGTAACGAGTCCAGCAACCCTTGTGGTAACTCGCGGAACCACGCCTGGCGCGAGGGGGAGAGGGGAGGAAAGCGGGTGAGGGGGCGGGAGGGGGGGGGGGGGGGGGGGGGGGGGGGGGGGGGGTTGGGAAGGTGAGAGGGGAGAGGTGTACGGACAGGCAAGCCGAGGGCATCCTCTGCGTCTCGGGCAGCTCCGCCACCAGCGCCACCAGCGCCAGCATCTGCTCCTCCGTCTCGCACGCCGCCACAACCTCCACCGGCAACGAGTCCAGCAACCCCTGAGGCAGCTCGCGGAACCACGCCTGGCGGGGGGAGGAGCGGGAGAGGGGAAGGTTGAGGCCAGTGGCGCAATATCTAACAGCGCTCTGCAGAACGCAAATAGACTTCGGCTCGCCTCGTTACGGGATAATACGTTGGCCTTACGGACTGGTAACAAGCCTTGCCCGAAGCATTCTCGCAGCCCTCTCTCAGACCTTTTGCAGCGCTCTTGCAGAACTCTCGCAACACTTTCGCAGCGCTCTCACCTTGATCAACCCCGCGAGCGCGTGCACGTTGATGCTCTGCGGCACGAGCCCCATGTTGACCTGATCCCTGATCTCGTCCTCGTGGTCGTTCTCCGCCGCCACGCGGAATATGCCCTCCGTCTGTACGCGGGGTGCAGAGATGGGATGGAGTGGGGTGGACGGGGGAGGACACAGGGGAGGACGGAAAAGAAGGGGAGGGAGGGAGCATTGAGACTAATGCCGAACTCGTCGAGAGGGTGGAGTGGACAAAGCAGGGGTCAGGACGCAAGGGACGCGGGAGGAAGGGGGAAGCGGCGTACCTGGCGTCCCTTTTGACAAAAGGGACATCCTGCTGCAGCGTGCGTAAAAAGGGACGCACGCTGTTGCCGAACTCGTTGAGAGGGAAAAGAAGGGGAGATGGGGACGGCTGGGGGGGAGCGGGGAGAGGCGTACCTGGAGGCCCTTTTTGACGTATAGCAGCGCCTGCAGCTGCAGCAGGATGTTGGGCACGCTGTTGCCGAACTCGTCCTGTGAGCACTGCAGCAGTTCCGGCTGCACGCCGAACACGGACCGCCTGGGGGAGGGGTGGCGGGAGAAGGACAAGGGGAATACGACAGGAGGGAAGGGGAGAGTGCGGGGCCGGGACAGAGAGGAATGAAGGCCCTGTAGCAGGGAGGAAATAGGGAATGGTGATAAGGACAACAAGGTTGCGCGTTGGCGGAGTCTCCAGGGACGTATTGACGCCCTTCTCCAGCTCAATCGCGCTACCCGTCCACCTTCCTACCGCCCGCTTCTGGCCGCACACTCTAGACGCGCGAACAACGACCGCATAATACCCTTCACGCGCGTCACAAACGGACTCCCCGTACACTCTAAAGTGCACTGGCACGCCCTAGCAGGCACTGACACGCACAGACACGCTCTAGCAGCGACCGCAGCTTACCCCGCACTGGGCGCGCGGCACGGCAGCTCGCCCTCGATGTCTTCCGGGAGACCCAGGAAGCCCTTAAAGCGGTCGAACGTGACGTGCGCCACGTGCTTCACGTCCGTTGGCTCGCCGATCTCTAGAGGGTGGCCGTCATCGTCATCGTCTGAGCGCAGCCGACGGTCAAAAATTGGGGTTGAGATATACAACAGGAAAAAAAAAAAGGTGAAAACAAATTTAAAAAAACAAGGGTGTAGGTGCACGTGCTTTACGTCGGTCGGCTTAACGGTCTCCAGGGGAAGGGCGTCGACGTAATCGTCTGAGGGGGGAACGGCGGCGAGGAAAGTGTCGGTGGACGGCAAGCAGATGGACGGTGCTTTAAGCGGTCGAACGTGACGCGCGTCACGCGCGTCACGCCCGTCGGCTGGTCAATTTAAGAGGAAGAATGTCCACATCATCGCGCGAGGCGATGACGGTGGCCGGTAAAAAGACGGCGGACGGCAGCCGGCAAGTGAACGACAAAAAGACGCAAGGCAGCAAACAGACCGACAAACGCATCAGCAGTGAAAGGGGTAAATGACAGGGGACCAGATAATTGAAGTACGAAGTGACAGAACAACGACCGAAGAGACGACATAGGCCGTTGATGGGTGGTAAGTGCACGATGACAACTCAGGTTCGAACGCTGTCAGCCCGACAGTGACAGAAAGAATAGACGAAACCAAGACAATAAGGAACTTTCCCGCATCGTTCGAGATGCTGTGGAAATATAATATACTGTATCGAAGTACATCAACGAGCGGGGAGAAGCGCAAAGACTGACTCACGACCAGTCAGTACTAATGGAGGATTAGAGCGGCGGCGTGAAGAGGTCTGATGATATGTATGCATTGGTACAAATGCTTATCACGACCCGCAATAAAAAACGCTAACTCCTATAATGCTACGAAATGTCGCATGACGGTGGCCACCGCGTCTCCAGACATGTCGCGTCGCGACCTAGACGTGTTCATCTGCACGGGCGCTCTGAGCTGCAAGGATGGGAATGAACGACCTGTACGAGCTAAGGCGGACTACACTCGAGAGAAGTGCTACACCTAGCTTGATGCTACAATTTAGTTGCCGGACGCGGAAAGATCAGTGGAATAGGGAGCTTGGAGAACGTACCGTGACACTAGAGAGGGAAAGGTATAAAGCATAATGAAGCCGAAACCGACGGTACCTAAGGAGCCTACTATACAACCAGTGGAGTCTCCTTACACTCTTCCCTGTCTCATGGGAGGACTCTTTCGAAAGAACATTAATATGTTTAGCGATGTGTTCTAGGAGCTTGGACAAGCAACACCTCGCTTTTCCTGGTTTGAGCGTGGCACAGCAGCACGACCACGACGTACCACGATCTCTCTGCTTGCCGATACGACCAAGTGTCTTCACTACGCCTTTAAAGCCGCCGTTTATCACGTCCATCTCAGGTACTGCTGGAAAGCCTAACCGTCGACCTGGAAAAATAAATACTCCAGAGTCTAGACTAGGCTAAGACAACTACTGAAGAGAAGCCATAACTAGGTTTGGGAGGCGAGGCGGAGTCGGTGGGGTGGAAATGAAGAGAGGGGAGACCATGGGGAACGGGGGAAAGGGAGGAAATTGAGGGAAGGGAGGAAAGGTGGAAAGGGAGGAATGGTGTAAAGGGAGAAGGGGAAAGGGAGGGCAGGGCAGGAAGAAATGGGGGAAAGGGACAGCACGCACGAGGAGATTGAAACAGACGGAGCCTACCACAACCTATGTGAAAACGTTCTATGCGCTCGATATGGTCACAGATGTTCGCCTCCCTGAAGCACGATCTTGGCGTTGCCGGAGTGATAGTAGCGAACGAACTGTAGATTCGCTGTGCCGCGCGGGTTGGTGTGAATTTCGGCTGTCACCACTTGCACTGGGGAAGGTCAACTGGCGGATGCAGGCGAGCCCGTGTAGTGGATGCACAAAATTCGTTACGCGAGGCAACCATTGTATACAACTGTAAGGAATTTTCTCAGGCATTCCTTACGGAGCCGACTACATCGCGTACAGCAACAGCCGACTGTTCGCCCGTTACTGCTAACGGAACTTCGCCGACTTCGCGCGCACTGTTTTGCCAAACCTCGCACTGCTGGCATGGCCGTATCGGCCTACGCTTCGGGACTAGCCCGAGCCTCGCTCCAGCGTAGCACTAGCAAGTTCGCACGCACCGCGTTACCGTTTTGCATGTTTCGCGTATAAATGCTCGCTCATGCCTTCGCTCACATTTTGTACTCGTTTGACACCTTAGTGCAATTCTCGCTACCTCGATTCATTGCACCCGTAACACTTGGTTATCAGAGCCCCTTTCTTTCGGACCGCGCATCTCCGCACACCAGGAAATCAACTTTTGATTTTTCACTCGAAGGGACTCACGCACCTTAGCCCCTAGGAGCCGCTGTCCTCGCGTTCTCTCGTAAACGCGTGCAGCCACGACTGCGCCTAGACTAAGACGAGCCGACGCCCTTCGTCATGGCCGAAAACATCGACGTCACCACTCTCACGCAGGAGCGTTTGAACGATCTGCTGCGACAACTGCACGAAAGCTCCGAGGAAATCGCGGCATTGACAGCAGAACGCTCATCACTGCAAAATGACCTCATGAGAGCACAATCCCAAGCACCTGGCACTCCGATTCAACCTGCACCCTCAACATCACAACACGGGAGTGTGGGGCAACCCGCGAGCGCGGCCAGTGATGGCGTCGTCCGCCCCGACGGAGACGACGACCACGGCACGACACACCCCAGAGCGACGCCTGCGGCCCCAAGTCAGCCTCGCGTCACGATTTCGGCACCAACCCACGATTCGGGACTGCCGTCACCGATGCCGCTGAAACCGCAGCGCCCGCCATGCTTTGACCCGAGTCAACGGGGTGGTCCTACCGTTCAGGCGTGGTTATTCACAATGAATGTTTTCTTCGACGCCAACTACGTCTCGGAGGACTCGGCGAAGATTCGATACGCCGTGTCGTTGCTGCGAGGACCCGCCATGGACTGGTGGCGCGTCATCGTCACGAAGCCGACCGACTACGCGACACTACCGACACGGGAAGGACAAACCGGACCCTGGGCGCCGTCGTATTTCGTGGAGGTGCCCCAGTATCGCACGTGGGACGCGTGGTGCGCAGGTCTGCGCGCTCGATTTGAGCCAATCGCGGCCTCGATCTCGGCGCGACAGAAGCTCCGCACTTGGCGCCAACTCGGTTCCGTCCAGGATTACACGAGCGGATTTCTGGCGCTATGCGAGCAGGTGGGCTACATGCATGAGAGCGAACGCATCGACCGCTACATCGGCGGCCTGAAGCAGGACATCGCTCAGGAAATCCAGCTTCGCGGCGTCACTGAGTTTCAGGAAATTCTCGCTATGGCGGAGAAGCTCGACTTCTTTCGCCGACCGAGACCGGGGTCCTACGGAAACAACACCTGGGGACATCGGCCTCGTGGGACGAACGAGAGCGCCACGATACGCGCCGTCGCCGCAAATGCCGCTGCCGCACCGTTCAAAGGGCGCTGCTTTGCGTGCAATCGGCCGGGACATCGCAAGAGCGAATGCCCGGAAAACGCTAAGGGAAAGGGGGAAGCTGAGCAGCAGACACAGACCAAGCAGCAGGGAAACGCTGGAAGTCAGTAGCAGACGGGCCCTCTACTGACAGGTCACGCCGCTCGCCCGACCCAACCGACCCTCACCGAGTGATTGTGCCGGTTCACGCAATCGACCACACCCGGCCGAATAAGGAGGGTACCACGGTAGATAGCCCTATACTGCTCAGTGGGAAAATTGGGACGGACTTAGTTAAAATCTTCGTAGATGGGGGAGCCAGCCACAGCCTCATTAACACTGCTACAGCACGAAAATTGCGACTGCCACTGGACCGATGCTTACCTGAGATCGACGCACGACTGGTAGACGGCACGCCGCTGGCAATACGGGAACGCGTAGACCGAGTTCGGATTCGATGCGGGGGTAACTTCACGTTTAGTCAGGAAATGCTCGCAACGACCCTCGACGGAACCGACATTTTACTCGGGCGTGATTGGCTGCGACGACACAACCCGCGAATTGACTGGACGACGGGTGACTGCACCGTGCGAGTGAACGGTAACAGCATCGCCTTACCTCGCTGGGGCTCGCCTGAGTCTTCGTCGGTGCGTGTCAACGCGATCACGATGAAACGCGCTGTTGCGGCCGGAGCCGACGTGTACGCGGTTGACATTCGGGAAGCCGAGGCAGCAGACAAGGGAGGCGATTTACAGAAACTGCTGACCGACGTACCGAGTGACCTGGCGGCACTGTTACAACAGTACAGTGACATTTTCCCGGATGACCTGCCGACGGGACTGCCACCTCAGCGACCGCACGATCACAGGATAGAACTGGAACCGGGGGCACAGCCAACAGTACAGCGACAGTTCCGACTGACCCAACCCGAATTAGACGAACTAAGGAAGCAGCTCGATTACCTGCTAGAAAAGGAATTCATTCGCCCTAGTTCGTCGCCTTTCGCCGCACCAATACTGTTCACACCGAAAAAGGACGGGGGTTTTCGCATGTGCATCGACTACAGGGCACTGAACAGGGTTACCATCAAATCCCGTTACCCCATCCCACGAGCCGACGAACTGATCGACCAACTGCGCACAGCCCGGGTTTTCTCGAAAATCGACCTCCGGGGAGGATACCACCAAATCCGCGTCAACCCACCCGACTGCCCTAAAACCGCATTCCGAACACGCTACGGATCCTTCGAATACACCGTCATGCCATTCGGACTGACCAACGCCCCCGCCACTTTCCAAATGACCATGAACGAAGCATTCCGCCCGCTTTTAGATAAGTGCGTCATCGTTTATCTGGACGACATACTGATTTACAGCCCTGACAGAGCACAGCACTTACAAGACATCGAAGCAGTTTTAAAAATCCTGAGTGAGAACCGCCTACTGACCAAAGCATCTAAGTGTGAGTTTTTACAGGACCGCCTGGAGTTTTTGGGACATGTTATTTCAGCTGCAGGAGTGGAAATAGACCCGAAGAAAATTGCGACGATTCAGGCTTGGCACGCGCCGACCAACTTGACCGAGTTGCAGAGTTTCCTGGGGTTCGTCAACTACGTGCGCCGGTTCGTCCCCGACATGGCGAAACTGACTGCCCCGTTGACTGACCTGCTGAGGAAGGGGGTTGAGTACACGTGGGGGGAGAAAGAGCAAGCTGCCTTCTCGGCCCTCAAAAATATTTTGTGCTCCCCGCCCGTCCTTCACATTGCAGATCCCCACCGTCCGTTCGAGCTCGTCACCGACGCAAGTGACATCGCTGTGGGAGCAGTACTGTTGCAGGATTTCGGGAATGGCCTCCAGCCAATCGCGTACGAGTCCCGCAAGTTACACCCGCCCGAACGTAACTACCCGATACACGACCGCGAGATGCTAGCGATCGTGCACGCGTTCAAAGTTTGGCGATGTTACCTGACTGGTGCCGACGTGACAGTACGGACAGACCACCGCTCGCTACAGTACCTTCGCGCCCAACCGAATCTCAACCCACGACAGATTCGCTGGTTGGACTATCTCGAGTCCAATTTTCACTACACCGTCACGTACAAAAAAGGAGCATCCAACATCGCCGACGCTCTCACCCGCCCCACCGCCCAACTCCACGCCATCCTACTCGCCCAGACCAACCCGCTTTTAACTGGCCTATTCACCCACGGATACCGCACCGACCCATTTTTCACGACCGGAAATTCACAGCAACTGGCAGAAGCAAAAGGAGTTTATTACGTAAAAACAGGCACCAACCGCATTTGGGTACCCGCGTACTCACTACTGAGGGAGCTGCTGCTGCAGGAGGCACACGACGGGATTACCTCGGGACATTTCGGGGTAGAAAAAACACGACAGCAACTGCAGCGGTACTATTACTGGCCGGAGCTGTTGACCGACGTACAGCAGCACGTAGGCTCGTGCCCGACGTGTCAGGTGATGAAGAGTTCAAGGAAGCGGAAGGCGGGTCAATTGCAGCCGATCCCACCGCCCGAACGCGCCTGGCAGCAAGTAACCATGGACTTCGTCACAGGGTTACCTTCGAACCCTGGGGGTAACGACGCGGTGATGGTCGTCGTGGATAGGTTGACGAAGATGACACACTTCGCTGCGTGCAAAAAGTCGATCTCAGCCGAAGAGACCGCTCGCCTGTTCATCGCAGCCGTTGTTCGCCTGCACGGGATACCAGCAGCAATTATCAGCGACAGGGACACGAAGTTTACCAGCAACTTCTGGAAGAACCTCTGGGAGCAGTTCGGGACCAGGCTACAGTTCAGTTCGTCGTACCACCCCGAGACCGACGGCCAAACGGAGCGGACGAATCAGACGATGGAGCAGTTGATTCGTGCCACGTGCGACGACCCCACGACCTGGGAGCAGCAGCTGCCGCTGATCGAGTTCGCGTACAACAACGCCACATCAACCACGACGCAGCAGTCCCCGTTCTACCTGAACTATGGGCAGAACCCCACAGTGCCCATGACGCCGAGTCCGGACAACCCCACGCCACGCGCACAACAATTCGCCGAAATCCTGCAAGCTGCCCGCGCCAGAGCCGCCGAAGCAATAAAAAAGGCCAACGTCATCGCTAAGCGCAACGCTGATCGCCACCGCCGCCCCGTCACGTATCAATCTGGAGATTACGTGCTACTCGACACGCAAAATCTGCGACTGCCCGACGTACCAAAATTACGACCGCGCTACTGTGGACCATTCCAAATCAGTCACATGATCACACCCGTCACCGCGCACCTACTGTTGCCAATTGACTGGTACATCAGCCCTTCGTTCCACGTCAGCCTACTTCGCCCATACATCCCGACCACGAGTCAACTGCCGCGTCACCGGCCACAATCAATGACTCGCCCTGCATCAGAGCCGATCATCGAGCCCGAGAAATTTTTGAGCCATCGGATCCGCCACCCCACGGGAATCAGGAGGATTGAATTCCTCGTTCGCTGGAAAGACCGCACGCCAACTGAAGATAGCTGGGTGCCCCTGAGCAACATCGAAAATCACCCTGCCCTGCAAGTGTACTTGAGAAGCCGGGGATTCCGGGATATACACGCACTCGCGTAGCGGAGGGGGCTTCTTAAGGGGGGGGGGGTAGTGTAAGGAATTTTCTCAGGCATTCCTTACGGAGCCGACTACATCGCGTACAGCAACAGCCGACTGTTCGCCCGTTACTGCTAACGGAACTTCGCCGACTTCGCGCGCACTGTTTTGCCAAACCTCGCACTGCTGGCATGGCCGTATCGGCCTACGCTTCGGGACTAGCCCGAGCCTCGCTCCAGCGTAGCACTAGCAAGTTCGCACGCACCGCGTTACCGTTTTGCATGTTTCGCGTATAAATGCTCGCTCATGCCTTCGCTCACATTTTGTACTCGTTTGACACCTTAGTGCAATTCTCGCTACCTCGATTCATTGCACCCGTAACAACAACACAATTCCTACAAAATTCATGCCAATACACAAGAATAGCTAACAAGATATGTTAGTTCTCCTCAGCCATGTGCGGTACATGCTACAGAGATCAGGCAATCAAAAGACTACCAAACTCCATTCGTTAACACAATAACTGGGCTATTGGCCCTACCACCTGTGATACGCATAGAGTGTATGACCCTATTCCAGTTACTATCGAGCGTTGTGACAGAGTAGTCACACTCTGCTGCCAGCATGAGGTTCACTAGGCTAGACTCCACCGAGGCACGCAAATCCCTTGTCTCTGTCTTCTTTTTTGATTGGCTTTTGGGGTTCCACTTGGGCTCATTCCGCGTGGATATTGCTTTGCAATGTCAATAACCTCCTGTGTATCCGTTGAAATCCACATGCGGTGCAGCGATGGGTCATGCACCCTCAGCAGCATGGCAGCCCTCATCCATGTAGCAACCGACTCCGCCTTTCCCAGCTGGATCTTATCTCCCTGACGCACATGCATGTGCAACATTGGCCTTGGAACAAACAGCTCCTCTCCCAACCAATCCTGCATCGCCATGTCATGTACAAGAGTCTCATTCGCCCTCCGATTGTCAAACGATGGAGATGCGAGGGCAGAATCGAAGGAGGATAAGCCGTCCTCTGTTACAGCCTGAGCAAAGCCAGCTTCTGTAATTCTGATGGCAGCATCCCGGCCAAAGGCCCTGTGCCGTGCAATGTTGGTGAGGTGGCAGAGGTACAGCGACGGCCATCGCAGGAGGAAGCGGATGGCCTGAGCTCGCCACCACGAGATCTGGAAGGATATGGGCATGAAAAAAACAGGTGGCAGTGATGTGACTGAGGGGCGGTGGTGATAAGTGGGGGGCGGTTGTGGTGATGTATTAGGGGTTGTGGTGATGAGCTAGGGGTGGTGTGGTGGTGATGAGTTAGTGAAAATGGTCATGACTTTGGGTTGGTGGTGACGAGTTGGGAGTGGTAGTAATGAGTTTGGGATGGTGGTGAGGAGTTAGGGGTGGTGTTGAAGAGTGCCGGTGGAGGTGAAGAGTGATGGGTGGTGAGGCTGTTGTGGGTAACATTGCAGTTTTTCCCGCATGAAGTATGTGCTCAGTTTACTGGGGGAACACACTTCTTCCTGACCCACCTTAGAAAACGTCTGCGGTAGATTCCCATACCAATGCCGATGGCCAGTTCGATCCCATGGCTCCCCCCACTTGCTGCAGGAGGAGATAAACACAAGGGGTGACAATCAAACAGGAAACCGGAACCTCAGTTAGGTTTTGCGCCAGGAGTATGGGGATCCAGTCATGATGCGAAAACAGTCTGAATGTTCAGAGCCAGAGTCAGGCAAAAGAGGGCTTACTCAGGAACGAGCTCTCGATCAGAGAAGCATCGCATGCGAGGCTGGACCACCACGCTGTCACTCAACGCTGCCTCCATCACATCCTCGCACAGGGACCACTTCCCTTCCCCCGACCTGGGACTACCATTCCTGGTAGCTCCTATTGTTGCGTTCGCTCCCACTTGCACTAACTCATCTCCCCTTAGCCTCTGCGCTCTCTCGATGCACTCCTATGAGACTGGAGGAAAGAAATAGCAACTCAGATCGCCGGAGACGTTTCCAGGACACCCCGGGTGCTTCGCGCGACTGAAGCTTCCAGGAAGCGGTACGAGGATCCGGTTCGTCACAACTGCAACGGCCAAATGGACGGTCATGATGTGTAGCTAGGATCCGAACCCATGCCCGCCGAAATATATCCATGGAGCAATGAGGAAGCGGTGGGAGGGGGAGGAGCAGTTGGCGGGAAACTGGTGAAGCCAGAGATCACGCTGGATTGTGTGCGTCAGCGGGATATTCACGTCTACTCCCTCGCGCACCCATGGCGTGCGCGGCTCCCCGCCGCTGCTGCGCGCCTGCGGGGAGTCTCTGCCTACACCCGTCCACGCAGGGGGTTCTCCGTTTGCCCCGCGCCTGTCCATCCCCTCCGATGCGCATGTGGTTTCTGCGCAATCTTGGAGATGCGGCGCAAGAACGGGTGCGCGTAGGGATTGCGCCTCCTTGACTGAATCCTGCAGCGAATCGGTCGCATTTGACGGAGGAGACTGATCTTCCTCATCATCCCTGGACGGAATCTCCTGAGACTGCAACCTCCGGACCTTGCTGTGTCCATTTCCGGCCTTCGCTTCCCGCGCCTCCCCCGCTGTACTCCCAACACCATCCGAAGTCGTCGGTTTGTTCTCAGCAGGCTTAGCAGGCTGACCCGGCGACCAATCAGGCCGCTTTAAAACCCGCGGGCCAAGAATTTCAAGCTTAGGAAGCTTGGTTGGGAACAGATATGCCATTGGTACACGAAGGGACTGAAACGTCAAAAAGGTTGGACGAACGTTGTGAACTGCACACCTTAATCGCACAAACCCACCAGCGACCTTTCCCCACAACCCATCCAAATTTCTGAGTCTCACGCCCCAACAACACTTCTATTAGGACCTTAGTAAGCCTTACGTTGGTATCTATGCAACGTAAATCAGAGCAAGTAGAGTGACCCACCGTCACGTAACATTCGAACGACCAATGACTTCGTAACACATAGATTTCAAAGTCGTGTAACAAGGACAAAAATAGAGATACTGCCGCCGTCAACGCCCCCAGGTGCGGATTCCGTGAACGAAGCCCTTCACACAGCGGTTAGGGTTTGCTCGTGCCGGAATTTCCCAACCCGGGCTCGCCGCGCTGCTATTTCTTCCCGTCGCAGCGCGACGCCCTATCAGTCGCGCTGCTAGTTCATTACGTCTCCCGCTACACCATGTTCATCGACTTCCCCCTCCCGTCGCCTCCACTTCCCCCTCCCTTCGCCTCCACTTCCCCCTCCCTTCGCCTCCACTTCCCCCTCCCGTTGCCTCCATTTCCCCCTCCCGTCGCCTCCACTTCCCCCTCCCGTCACCTCCACTTCCCCCTCCCGTCGCCTCCACTTCCCCCTCCCGTCGCCTCCACTTCCCCCTCCCGTCGCCTCCACTCCCCCCTCCCTTCGCCTCCACTTCCCCCTCCCGTCGCCTCCATTTCCCCCTCCCGTCCCCTCCACTTCCCCCTCCCGTCGCCTCCACTTCCCCATCCCCCTGCTACCCTTGTCATTCTCCCTTCCCCTCTGCTCCATTCGCCCGCACTGCGCAATTTGTGCAGTTCTTCGTGCGCTCCGTCCCCGACGCACAGGTCAAGACCTACAAGTACATATTCAACTCCCTGCTCACGGTACGCCCTGCCCTAGCCTGCCACCCTGCCCCACCCTGGCCCCTCCTATTCTTCCCTCCCTGCAGTTGTGTGCAACTTTCAAGTGTAAACACCCTAGACAAAACAAAACCCTCTCTCCACGCCATCCAGTGTTCATCCGATGCCAACTCCCTCCCCTCCCCATCCCCCTAAGCACAGCTGCTCGAGACCAACTCAGTGAGCATGCACATCCCGGGCGATGACTTGCGGCTGCTACTGGGCTTGAACGCTCCTTTGCCGCTGCTGCTGCCGATGCTGTAGTGCCTGATGACTCCTCGCTGCTTGACCAGGTGAGCCCGTCACCTTGTGTACCCACCTAAAGGCATGCCAGTTACCGACCTGTACCCAGTGTGGCCGCTCCCTGTCAGCCAGTCTTTCTGAGTCTTGTTTCTGCTTTGTAAGGAAATCCTGCTCAAACCATCTCCCTCTCTCTCTCTCTCGCTCTCTCTTTCTCTCTCTCTCTCTCTCTCTCTCTCTCTCTCTCTCTCTCTCTCTCTCTCTCTCTCTCGCTCTCTCTTTCTCTCTCCCTGCCTCTCCTGCATGCGACCATCTCGAGCTGCAGAACATAGTGCGCATGATAGTGGACCGCAAGCAAGGAGCAGTCAGCCTTTTCGAGCTTCACTACTACATGCAGTCACACCCTGGGGTGAGCTTACAACCTTGAGTGCTTGCTGACGCTTGCAACACATTTTTCTCAAATCAGTTCAAACCACTCAGACCTCCAAATATGTGGCTCTCTATGCCTCTCCACGCTTGAGCTCCCTCCCTGCATTTGCCGCCCTACTCTATGCTCCAATCAACACCTTTCTCTCTCATTTCCTAGGTTCCCCCCTCATGTGCTGCCCCCACATGCACCATCCCGTGCTGCAGATTGACGTGTTTGCACGGCTGTCCAGCATCAGCGACACAATGAGTTTGTACCTTCAAATGGGCATTCTCCGCGTGCGCGAGCACGTAGCTTGTGGCGACACCCTTGACACCTTGGCTGCTTCCATGCTGGAGGCAGGCACTGCTGCCTCGCTGCCGGAAGCAGGCGCAAGCGCTCTTGGAGGCATGAGATGGCTTTCCAGGGCTGTGCTTGCGATGCCGATGGCAGAGGAGCAGCACTTGCCCTTGAGAGGGCTGCGGCCCAACGTGGTGCAACGGGGGGCGGGCGATGGTGGGAGTTACGGGAGTTACGGGAGCAGTGCAGCAGGTGCAGCGGCGTATGAGATGTCCTAAATGAGGCTGAATGGGGAGCACTCAGGTGTGAACCTCAGATACTGATGGTCCTGAGATGACCATGCACAAGGATGTTAGGGAAGTGAGCAGAGTAGTTAGGCTACAGTTCTGTATCTTTGCACTCAGTCAATTGTAGGAAGCACTTGATGGCATCTTTGCTAGGTCAACTTTCAAGGCCACACGCTACTGATTTTTTCTTCAGCAAAACAAAATACACAATGAAGTTCTAACACTGGATCACAGCGGTAAGCCGATGTGCATGATGCAGATTCTTCCTGCTCTAGTCTCCAACTACCCTGAGCATGCTATCTCCCAGTCATGGCCTTAGAGCTCATCGTCCCCCACAACAGCATCTGCCATGTCGAGCTCCTCCTCGTCCGGCTCCCCCGACTCCAGGTTCGGGTCCTTGCCGAACCTAAACGGCGGCGCCCTGACTGCGTGTAAGGTATGAGCCCGAACACCCGCGCAGTTCGCATTTCCCGAGCCACGCGGCGTTGCGCCTTGGCAGAGAGCCGAGTCTGCACTGCTGGCGTGGATAGTGACGGTCGGCGACATGGCATGAGGAGTGGAGGTGAATGACAAGCAAGTGTGCTTGTTAATGTGGAGAAAAAGGGTTTACAACGAGTGTGAGTGAGGAGGATAGGCAGGCAGCACACATGGCAGTGCGCACTATAACTTGTACGAGGAGTGAGAGTAGATAGCACAGACAGTAGTGCAACTTGGAACCTAACATGAGGAGAGTGAGACTGCGGGCTCACCTTGTTCCTGGGTCTGATCTTGCCGGAAGCACATGCACCTGAATTTCAGAATTCTCAAGAAGCACATGCACCTACCTCTTGACCCAGTCAGCAGAGTTTCCCGTTCCACTATGCCCCTGTGTGCTGCCCATACTCCCATATACATATTTCACAATCCAACTTCGCCACTTCTCTGTTCCTCCCCTTGCCCACTCCCTCCCTGTGCCTATCCGCCCTCACTTCCCCCCCCTGTGCCTTCATTGCCCCCTCTCCATCCCTCCCCTCATCTCACGCGGAAGTCAGCAGCACGCAGAGTCTCCTTGGTGGTTGGGGTGGGCAGATTGCTAAAGCAAGTCCCTCGCGCCGTCTGGGAGAGGCTGAGATATGTCCATGCCCGATTGCCTGCTTAACTTGGCTACTTTGAGGGTCAGGGACGGGGGGTGGGAGGACAGGGAGAGATGCAGGGAAGGATGTGGGGTGGGGGGCGCGATGTAGGCAGAAGAGAGAGAGATGGGGGGAATGGAACATGTTAGGGAGGTGAGGAATGGGGAAGAGGAGCGGAGGCAAGGAAAATAGCGCATGGGCATAATA